CACACACTATATCTCACATATAGACACAAACACATAGACACTCACACACACATACACACACACACACATTAATCAATAACGTTTTTGTAGTCATCCGGTGTCTCGAATCGAACCACTGCCTTTCATAATACAGGTCTTGCCTAGCATGAAAGTCAGGGGTCCTACTCATAAGACTATAAGATAGCAAACCATTCCTAGTTTATTTTAAGATGATTGTAGTAGTACTTGTAAGGTTTGATGAATAAACATTATTATTATTATTATTCTCATTTATTTCATTTCACTTATAAAAGTTTAAATAAAAGTAAAATACAAAAACGTAAATACAATTAATATAAATATAGTATAAAAAACCTAACCTAGAAGGCCATCAGCAGCGGAGCGAGGCTCAAGCTACCGGTGGTTAGGGCCGCAGAGAAAGAAACCGCCTGACGATGCGCGCCGTGCCCAGGAGTACTGCCTTTTGCATCTGCCCCTTGACCCAACCATCTAGCGAGAGGCTCTTTAGATGTTGATCGAGACTCTTCGCTATGAGACCGTTTACTATTATTATTATTGTTATAGAAAATCCAGCAGATTGCGCTAGCAGAGGCTTATCAGCGACGCAGCTTAAAGATCATTCACTTTGGTGGCAAGGTCCAAGTTGGCTTCAGAATTTCAACATAGATTGTAATATCACACAACCTACATATTACACGGATCAAGAGGTGAAAAAATCAACAAAACAAGTTAATGTTGTCACAAATCAAGAAAATTATGACGTCATTACTTCGCTAATAACTAGACACAGCAACTTTTTATTTATATTACGCGTAATTGCATGGCTGCGGCGCGCTATCATAAAACAAGCAGGCAAAGCTACAATAATCATCATGAAACATCATCAGCATAATGAATTTTATAATGAATTGACTTGTATCACTGAAGGCAGGAATATTCATATTAAAAGCAAATTAATAATTGACGACCTCCGTGGTCGAGTGGTTTGTACGCCGGGTTTCATGGTGTCGCCGACTCGGGAGGTCCCGGGTTCGAATCCCGGTGGGGGCAGATGTTTGTGTGATGAATATGAGCATTTGTAGTCCAGTCATGGATGTTTAATATGTATTTCTATATAAATATACTTATATATGTACCGTATATGTATTCTATCCGTTACCCTAGCATCCCATAACACAAGCCTTACACTGCTTACTTTGGGGCTAGGCTAATTGGTGTGAGTGTTGGAAATATTTATTTATTTAATTAATTTACATCCTTTTATAGATGAAAATGTCTCTTACGAGTAGGTGGCAGGTTAAGGCACGCTCGGATGAATCAAGAAAGAAAAAATCCAATAATTATTACGCAAGGCAGATTAGCAGAGTTAATAATCAATTATGCACACGAAATGACGTTTCATGGAGGAGCAAAGTTGTGTATAGCATTTATAAGACAAAAGTATTGGATCCTTGGCGGAATACGTGCTATCAAAAAGCAAATACGTAATTGCGTGACGTGCCGGAAACATAACCCCAGTAAATTGCAGCAGCTCATGGGCGATTTGCCAGAAGCAAGGTGCAATCCTTCACCCAGAGCTTTTTACCACACTGGAGTAGATTTTTCGGGATATGTTTTGATTAAGACCAACAAAGGCCGAGGAGTAAAGACCACCAAAGGATACATAGCAGTCTTTGTGTGTATGACCACAAAGGCCATCTACTTGGAACTGATCGTATCCGATCTCACAGCATCATCTTTTCTAGCAGCCTTGCGTAGAATGGCATCACACAGAGTATCGCCCCGTCACATCTACAGTGACAACGGTACCAACTTTGTAGGGGCAAATAACATCCTCCAAAAAGAGTTTGAGCAGCAAGTCAGTAATGAAGAGGTGATGAAAGAAGTTACTGAAATGGAAATTCAGTGGCACTTTAACGCCCCTTCCTGGCCTTCAGCCGGCGGGTTGTGGGAAGCAGCCGTCAAGAGTATAGATGTAAAACAACTGATTTAAAACGTTTTAAACAAAATGTTGCCGTTTTAAACGTTTGAAAACTGGCATACAAAAATAAAAGAACTATGTTTTTTACACTTCATTAAGGTCAATTTTTAATCACCTGACGTCGTGTTTCGTTTTTTGGGTTGGCAACGTTTGCGTCGAGTAACGACGAGTGACGTCAACGAGAGTGCGAGAGTGTGAGTTTGGTTTTAAACCGAATCAAATTGATTTAAATTGTTTGAAAACAATGATTTTTTTTATTTACCAACACCGAGTTTTTAACTTATGATAAGAGTTTTTATAACTTAGGTAGGTAATACCTATGCTTGGTCGGGGATAATACCTATGCTTGGTCGGGGATGGACCAACTAGAACGTAATTCGCCAAGTATATCAATATCAGTAAGTATATCACACATTTAAAAAATCTTTATACAGTTTATAGGTAATCCGTTATATTCCTACCTCGGTAAAATCAAGACAATATTGTAGTTATAATTAAGAAAAACATAGTCATCAACACCAACCGTTTTAATCGAAAAAAAATTGGTTTATTTTGGTATTAAACGGTTTTTTCGGTATTAAACCGGCCTTATATCTATAGTCAAGAGTCTAAAGTACCATTTAAAACGGGTCATAGGTGATCAACACCTGACGTTCGAGGAGTACTCCACCATACTAGCACAGCTAGAAGCATGCCTAAATTCGCGACCTCTATGTCCAATTTCCGAGGATCCAGACGATTTGGATTACCTAACACCAGCACACTTTCTGACTGGATCAGCACTAACAATAACAGAAACCGAAAGAGAGCTTCGAAGTAGATGGCATTTAACGCAGAAATTTTTCCAAGACACGTGGAATCGATGGCGCATGGAATATCTAGACCAGCTAACTGCCCGAAGCAAGTGGAAAAGGACTCAAGATAACATCAAGGTCAACGATATCGTACTCATTCATGATGATAATTTACCAGCAGGCAAATGGTTAATGGGTCGTGTCGTCGAGTTGCATCCAGGAACAGATAGTTACGTCAGAGTAGTAACCCTTAAAACAAAAAATGGTTTCATTAAAAGACCCATCATTAAATTATCAATTTTGCCGATAATCAATGCAGAGGAAAATAAAGATAAAACGTCATCAAAACAGCAACAATCAGAACCGAACGATAATCATAACCGAAAATTTTCATTCAATTCTGTCGTCATGGTATTGTTATTTTTTATGACAATTATAGCAAATGCATCCTGTTCTTACAACATATCCGAAATTCAAGACAAGCAAATGCTATATTTCGATAAAGTTTCCAATATGAGATTAATCAGAGACGAATGGAAAATATTAGCGTTTTATGACATGGATCCTTATCAACAAGGAATAAATGCTCCAAGTAAATATATTAAATACTTAGGTGATCAGTGCATGAAAATAAACAAAGGTGTTCAATGCGATATACTCGGGTTACAGTTACATCACGGGTATAATGAACTACAATATTATAATCACATGCTGCTGAGTAAACACTCGCGCACGCGGAGACAGCGGCGCGGCTTGATAGACGGGGTCGGCTACGTCGCAAATGGTCTATTCGGTGTGCTAGATCAAAGATTTGCAGAGCAGTATAAAAAAGACATTGAGCTTATCAAAATAAATCAAAAACATATTAACATTGTAGTGTTGACTACCTTACAGAAGCTTATCGAGAAAGCTGACTAGATACATTTCGTGCCAAATACTCCAAGAAACATTAGAATACGTCACCTACATTCTAATGTAAAATAAAAGAAAGATAATTGTAGACTAGGCTGTATAGGCATTGTTCCCTTTGCTTTCCCTAAAAAGAAAAAAAAACACGATTTTTGACAGCTTTAGCCAGCCAGCCAGTTGTAGGGTACCGGGTACGGGTACGGCCAGAGTGCACTCAGATTCAGATTCAGATTCTGAAAACAAGCGCGAGAAATAAACAGTGTAGTCTAAGCAGGTTGCCTGCTTTTTCTCGCGCTTTGTTTTCTGAGTCTGAATCTGAATCAGGAGTGCACTCTGGCCGTACCCTTCGACTACACTGTTTATTTCTCGCGCTTGTTTTCGGAATCTGAATCTGAGTGCACTATGGCCGCACCCGTACCCTACGGCCAGAGTGCACTCAGATTCAGATTCCGAAAACAAGCGCGAGAAATAAAGTGTAGTTAAAGCAGGGTGGCCATAGTGGCTGCAGGCAACCTGCTTAAACTACACTGTTTATTTCTCGCGCTTGTTTTCTGAGTCTGAATCTGAATCTGAGTATATTTCTCGCGCTTGTTTTCTGAGTCTGAATCTGAATGCACTCTGGCCGTACCCTTAGTATAATGTACTCTATGGCCAGTTTGTTCTTGCATCCGGGAGCATCGCTGCTTAGTTTTCATAGTTTTCCAATTACAGCACTAGAGCGCATTATGCGGCATAATGCTTAAAGTTGAATGTTTCAACTACAGCAACGCTTCTCACAATCGAGAACTCTCAACGGTAATGCTTTCGTGTGATACGTGCAATCGTACCAACTCAGTGACAGAAAATGAACAAGTATTTTTTTATTTAAGTTGGCATTGATCGAAATGTTTTATTTATATGTTATCGTTAGTAATATTATTTATTGTTAAAAATTTATTAAAGCTTTCGTTTCATTATAGTTTTTTTTTAAATAATCAAAGTTAATTCAAACTGTGTTAAAAATAAATATAAGTATGGATGAAGGTACAAACATGAACATTTTATCAATACTGAACTTAACGTACTCTGCTGGTGCATTTGAAAACTAATTCACGTTCCAATTATGCATCAGCATAATTCGGCATTGTGCGCCACTGAGTCGCATTATGCTCTGTAATTGGAAAACAACCATAGAAACTTTGACGATGCGATAGAAAGAAAAACAGAATAATTTAACTTAAGACTAGGCTGTATGGGCATTGTTTCCCTTGCCTTCCCTGAAAAGGGAGAACTTAACAAAAAAAGAAAAAAATAAATACGAAGCTGTCAAACTTCTTGCTAGAGTTCACGTTAGGTTAAGTTTTTAGTTTTTGCAAGAAATTAATCAGTAGCGTTTTAAGTTCTTGTTGCTAGCGCTAACTCCGCATTCTAAGTGGCAAAGATATTTGGAAAATAATTAAAAATAAAAATGCTTAATGTATTAAGAAAAACTTTACAAAGTCCAATTATTAGTATACAAAGGCTATTCAATACATCTCCCATTCTTTCGACCCAGAAATTTGATATCAAACGTATTCCACTAGACGATGAAGGTGTTCAAGGTGAAAAAATTGTGGATCTCGATTCAGTTATCAAATCGTAAGTACCTTTTCTCCAGTTCAGTCCAGTTTCAGTAATTTTTAAGTGTTTCCAAATGCTGCTTATGTTTATTAGATTTTTCAGATTGTTTTTCTTTTCAGAAAACAGAACCTATTTCCTACCTTGGAATCGGATGATACTTTGTTTGACGGAATTCCATACAAAAGTCTACCCATATGTAACATTCGAGTAACTCACAATAACACGATTATAACATTGACTGATGCAGCGGGAACTGTTAAACTTATAAAATCTTGTGGCATTGAGGGTTTTAAGAATACTAAGAAAGGAACTAATATAGCTGCACAAACAACTGCAATCAGCTTAGCAACAGTAAGGGACTTTAAATCTGTATGTTCTTATAGTGGCCACTCACCATCCTGCCAGATCATCCATGGCTTAATCAAGCCATAGTGATCATGTGTGTGAAGAAATTTTGGGACGACATGCCATTTACAGAAGGAATTTGGCTTGATTAAGTAGCATGATGGTGAGTGGCCACCAATAAACACAAACTTCATTTAATTATATGTTATTGTTTTTCCATTCTAGAAGGCCATTGACAGAGGATTCAAAACTGTTAGAGTAAAAGTCAGAGGTTTAGGACCAGGAAGATTGGTAAATAATAACTAGATTACTGTTAAATATCTTAAAAAGCTTAAAACTTATTACTAATTCCCTTCACAGGCATCAGTTAAAGGACTCCAAATGGGTGGACTTGAAATAGTGTCTGTGACAGATAATACTCATGTTTCATGGAATCCCCCAAGACCAAGGAAAGCAAGAAGGCTGTAACTATTGTTAGTTTACTTTAATAATGATGTTATAAACTGATTAGAATAATAAAATACCATATAGTAATTTTAATTTACTTTTAATTATTTACAATTGTGTTCACTTTACTTCTACTTCTTATAATTAGAAACCATACTTGGATTGTGTTTGTCTTTTTGAAACTCTGTTGTTAGCCCATTGATTTTGTAGTTCTGCTTCATTAGCTTTAGCCTGAAATAAGATTTAATGTGTTGATTTTATATAAATGACCACAGAGTTTATTGTCATGATTCACACCTTTATCTACAAAACTTAAAAATAATTACCTGGTGAGCAAGGTAAGTGATTTGATGTTTCCGTTTTTGTTGGCTTGTGGGTTCATCTCCTCTTCTTTTACTTACTGACATTCTTTTGCTGGTGTCATCCATAAGACCTTTAAGAAGCCAGTCTTTAGCATCAGCCAGCACTTCTTTCTGATTTATATTCACAATTTGAATTTCTTCCCTCTTCCTCTTGCCACGAGTTCCACATAATTTTATGATCTAGAAACGTTAATCAAGGCATATAAAATCAAATCATATTTTTAATTGTTTGTATGTTGCAGGCAGTTAAAGATTTTTGAATCATATTACAAAGTCACTGCAATATCACATTTTACAATACAGTGGCAAATATTTAAGAGCATTTAAATTTGTTCCTATTAAATTTTCAATTTGGAAAGTGGCCGTAACCTTTTTAACGAAAATACACAATGTTTTTTGGTAAATTAAAATACCATCACAAGGACAAATGACCATCTACATAACTTTACTGTTTAGTAAGCTACTGTTATTTGTTATATAAATAAAACTGCCAGTGACAATTTAAAATGTACCCAATTTTGTAACAGCTATTTTTGTACCGCTTTCTAATAGGTGTGTCACAATTTGTGTGTGTTAAATTCTGATGGGTAAATATTAATTCAGAAATTCAATATTAATCTAAATACTAAAAAGTAATAACAACAGTAATAATTAATAATTTTTGGTGAATGATAATATTATATATAGTTATATTATAATAACTTATCAATAATAATTTAATAATCTTTTTAATTTAATGAAAATATAATCTAATTTAATTCTCCTAATAATAAATTAATCACGTCACGTCGACGTCGTTTCACGTTACGCGCTTTCTAGGCAGAACTGAAAACCAGTGCTTTGCTCTTAGAGCAAAGGTATCGCTGAGTTTTTGCCTTTTTCTGTCGTTGCGGCACACAGGTACATAACTGTAATTAATTGTTCTATTTTTGACGTGACAACGTCTTAAATTAGGTTGCGGCTGGGAGTCACTTATGAAAAAGTGTAACGCTCGGTAACGTTACAATGAGTCTCTCGTGTTAAGTTTAAGTTTACATGTACAATGTTTTAGTAAACAAAATATATTTCTATAGTTAAAATTTGTGCAATTCTTATTTTCATTCAATTCCTTGTTCCTATTGTGCAATTTAATTATATTCATATCAATAAATATTCTACCGAGAAAAAGACGTTGTCACGTAAAATCTTCGCCCGTAAAACCGACTTTACAGGCAACCATTTTTTTACTTGAATTTGTGTGCTGTACTGATGGGAATAAATGATTTATCTATCTATCTATCTACTGAAGTGCTATGGTATGTGGCAGACTGACCTAGCAATAATGCAACTGTCAACCCTTTATAACACAAAGCATCTCCTTTTTATATACCTAGTTGGCATGTAATATGGTGAAATAAACTTTCCACTTGAGACATGTACATTAATTATGATCAAGGAAAAAATACATACTGCTTCATCATCAATTGCAATCTCTTCTGAAGGTTGCACATTCAAATCACTTTCATGGTTAGAATTTTCATAACTTTGATAATGCCTTTGCTCTTCATGATTTATCACATTAGTTTGTAATGCTTCAGTGTCTTCAACTTCATCTTGTTTGAAATAAGATAGTATATTAGATGTTTGTTTTTTGTTATTTGCTATACTTGTATTGATGACACCCTTGTCTTGTTTGTTTGTATCTAGTGGTATGTCTTCAACAGTCATTTCAGTTTTATGTATAGAAAAGAAATCATTCTGTACTTCTTCATCATCACTTTCATCAGAGTAATCTTTTGATAGAGATTTTGTTTTACTGCTTGGTGATGGCAATGGCTGTTTTTTGATTGTACTAGCTGGTTTTTTTGTCAACACGTGAGGAACAAACGACTTTGTTGTAGACATGATAGAAACAGAATGTTTAGGTTGTGGCAGCATACTTAACAGACCAGATTTTTTCTGAAATTAAATTTTATTATTAAATTATCATTCATTTTATGACAATAAACCAACCCCTAATTGTCCAAACTATACCATGATATATTTGATATTTGTAAATTTCAACCATTATTGCAAAGAGAATCAGTAAATGAAACTTATAGTTCATATCTTTCTAAATGTCCATTTAAAAGATTATGTATTGAGAGTTTGGAATCAGATAATTAGGGGGAGGCTATTTTGATACATACCCCACTAGCCACTTTTGGTTTTGGCACATTGTCTTCTATATCTTTGAACTGAAACATACACATACTATAAAAGAATTGTATAAACATAATACTTAAATGTAGGCATAAATAATTCTATTTCATCTTACATCACTCGGTGATGGAACTGTGATTTTGGCCTTGGGTTTTATAATATTAGAAACTCCTTTTTTATGCAAGAACTCATCTTCATCTTCCTCTATTGCATTTGTTTTGGCTGGTTGTGGGAGAAGATTGAACAAGATATTACATACATTGGATGCATGAGGTTGTGTATAAAGTTTAGGTTCAGAAAGACTCTCTGTTTCCGAATGCTCTGGAACACAAAATGATCATTTTTATATACGAAATATTACTTCATTTTCACGACAATTACAATTATTGTAATGTATAAACACCATGTTCGATTTTTTTGGTTTCCTCAGTTGCATTTTCTTCTACGTCACTGGAATCACTGTAATCGTAAGCAACTAAAGCCATTATGTGTATATTATGGTAAATTAAAATCCTTTGTAAATCAAGATGAAGATATTTTTTATTTGTTCTTGTACGTTTTTTTTTAAATTCTCTCTTTATAAGGAAGGCAAAGGGAACAATATACACACAGCCTAGTCTTAAATTTTATTAACCTACCTTTTCTTTTTAAATAAGAATGTCGGTGTGACGCATTCTAATGTTTCTTGGAGTGTTTGGCATGAAATGTATCGAGTTAGCTTTTTCAATAAACTTTTGTGAGGTAGTCAACACTACAATAAAGTTCTCACGTCCACTTGACCGGAATAGATTATATTTTAAAGATTCCACTAATTCTTCAGTTGCGCTGATGTTTGTAACACAAAATCACACCAATTTTATTTCACAATATCCACTATTGATTAATTTAAGAATAATTAAAATAAGACGGCAACCGCACTCTATAAAATCCCTCCATAAACTCCGTTTGTTTAGTTGTATTCTTCGCTATTGGGAAAGGCAAAGCTATGCAGCCATCGTCTTGTATTAATTTACCTTTTTCGAAGTGAAACTTCTTTACGCACGACTTGACTTGAAGCAAAAATTTTTTTTATTAAGGACAACCAACAATGCTTAACACAATGTTAGTGTTTGTAGCATAGTAGCTACAGAAGTCAGTTAAAGCTAGGATTAGTGTCGCTTTAATTATAGTTTTTCACTTTTTTACTGCATGCGCAATAGGAAGCAACTAGGTCTAACTCAAAATCAAAACTAGTCAAGAGTGTGAAATTTTAATAGTACATGATGTCCCATCCCATAATCCTGTATTCATTAACGAATTGAAACCACTGAAAACGCTGATTCATAATGTGTTTTGTAAGTTTTGACGAAAACAAGCAAATGATTTTGCCTTCCATTCTTTATTGCGATCTTTCATGCAACAGACGTGAAGTTCTTGCCATTTTTTATTTATTTGTTTGTTGGAAGATTTACAGGCAGATATCAAGTAAAACTATTTGAACTGAACTCAACATTGCTATTTATAATTCTCCACAAATAGGCTATTAAGTTAATTACATAGTTCTTTGAAATAATACATTATAATGACAAAACAATAAAATTGACCTTTGTATTTTACTACAGTAGATTTAAATCATATTATAATATAGTCTTTATTGGTATTCGCTCTAAGGACGGAATCCTTCATGAGCGAGTCCAACTCTTAATTTACCGGTTTAAAATTATCATTTCAATAAATATTGAAAAAAGATCAGTGTTTTTTTTATATTCTAACAATTTTCTTTTTTTCTTGAAATAAATGATATCAATCAAAGGTAGGTTTCAATTTGTATATATGTCGCTGCACGAAACTCTGGCGCGTGCGTTGCGCCGATTAGCTCTCCAGTCGAACCCTAAGGCATTGTCCTAATACAACGCGATAACGCGAATGAGCGATGCGATCATCGTAAGAGTCGACGATCAAACATATTGATCTAGAATAGGTGTCCTAATAGGCGATCGCGCGATGCATTCGCGCGACTAAAATGTTTAAAAATCTATTAAACGCGCGAACGCGCAATCAAACCTATTAATGATGAATAGGTGTCCTAACTGAAGTTCGCGCGATGATCGCGTCGCGTCGATAGGAAGCGGGGAGAGGGGCAGGACTAACCCGTACCGTATTCGCGTTCTATTAGGACACCCAGTTCGCGATCACGCGATGGTCGCGTCGTTTAAACGCGCGATGATCGCGTTATCGCGTTGTATTAGGACAATGCCAAAGAGTAGTATTTATATTATATTATAGAACGGATCGAACCCATGCCGCAGCTATCCTTTCCGCGTTTTGTTCTGCGCTAGAGTTACGTGCTGCGACCTGTACGGATTTGATTACAGTGCGACCTATTAGATACTGGTGTCGATTCTGGCAGGATTCTCTAAACTTTAAACTAAATTTAAGATCAGTCTATCCTTTTCATTCTGTATAGAGAACGACAGGGATACACTGTTGTCAAATTTAAGTATAGCTTTAGAGAATCATGCCAGAATCGACGCGTGTCGATTCTGGCATGATTATATTCTATCTGTATCTGGAATGCTTATGTTACATAATGTACATTTTTGTTTCTAACTTCATTCTTATGGATTCGAAAGAGAGAGAGGTTAGAGCGTTGATACGACACGATACGTAAATCTAACCTCTGTGTCTCTAACCATAATAAATGTATGAAACCGATGTGCTTCTGGCGCGGCATGACACGATACGTAAATATGTTTTTGGCTTTACAAAGCGGCGGCGTTAAACGGGCTTCACACTACCCAATTTTAAGGGCCCATCCGAAAGGGTGGGCGTGGCCCCTAGCTAGGGTGGTAGCAATTTTACATCGTGTCGATCGCCCTAGATACCCGATCTAGGGCGATCGGCACCCTTACTCACTGACTCAATTTACATCATTAGTATCGATTCTTGCAGGTTTCTCTATACTTAAAACTAAATTTAACATCAGTCTGTCCTTTTCATTCTGTATAGAGTGACAGAGATACACTGTTGTCAAATTTATGTTTAGCTTTAGAGAATCATCCCAGAGTCGACACCATTATTAGTCATTTCATTCATTAGAGTCCTTTAAAATTGGGTAGTGTAAATAGGTCATGTAAATAGACGTGTTAAAATCACAAACTAACAATATTGTGTCGGTGGTTAAAATACGGAAACACCGGTTTAAAAATTTAAGCCCGTCACAGACGTTACTATAATTTATATTAATATAAATCATAGACATATTACAACATATTTTCAATATAAACAAACACAACATATTTTTAGGTAACCTTTAATGAAAATAAAGTTATTGTTTAAAAAAAACAAGCTTTGAGGGGCTGCAGAAGCCACAGATACACATTCGTTACTGGGCTATATATTGATTTGATTTACCAATTCTAAGGGTAAAAGTCGGAAAAAGTACGCCTCTGCATCTTGTACTGTTTTTACTTGTGGCTCTTTCCATACATGTACTATATTCTATACCGCCTCCCGATTTTAAAAAATCGGACCTGGCAACACTGGTCGGTAGTGTTCGGTTCGGTAATAAAAAAAGTTCGGTTCGTATGAAATGTATGTATTGGATTACACTTAAAATTTACAATTTATTTGTTTTGCGAATTAGCGATTATCATTGCACCAATCACAATTATTTTTGTGTTACCTTCATTGATATTATACTATAAGATATAAGGTAAGTACATATTTTTTAGCATCGTCTGGTTTTCTGTAGCACAGCAGCAGACATGCCGAAGAAATTTGCTGGAGAAAATAGCAAAGCAGTCGCTGCAAGGCAGCGCAAAGAAGATGCTAAACAGGAGAAGGAACAGAAAACAAAGAAAATGATAGAAGATGCGCAGTGGGAGGATGATGATGAAAAACTGAAGAAAAAACAGCAAAAAAAGGTTAAATTTTTTTTTTATTGGAGTAATAAAAAAAAACTTGGAAATAATCAATTCAGTTTCTGTTTCACAGGAGGAACAAGAGAAAAAAAGGCAAGAGCAGTTACAGAAAAAAGCTGAAGCAAAAGCGTTATTGGAAAAAGAATTAGATTCAATTAAAGGAAATACAAAAGCACCTCCTCCACCAAAGATTACTAGAGCCCAGATTTCACAAGTTAAGGAAAAAATCAACAAAGCTGAACCTGTGAAATCTCAGGTAGTAGAAGTCATTATTCATAAGGATGTGTTAACAAGTAACATTTACTGTTATTTTGGGCAATTAAGGTGACACTAATAGGAATGTTTTGTCAATGTATGAATCGACTTTGTATCTACATAATTAGGGTAGGAGTCAACAATATTAAAAACCCCAGATACACCACATGCACTCAAGATTTGTCCCAATGACCATTGAAAAGTCAAGATGCTAGAGCTCCATGAAAAAATGCAAAAAAATAATAGTATGTAGTGTCGTTTTTTTGACAGGTACATAATCAATGTTTAATATGTTCTTTCACACATTTGAAGCATATTTTGTTCTAATACTTACTATGAACTGATTAAATAGATAATTTGTGATATTCAAATTTATGGTCGGTAATATAGCCATCTCTTTTTATCACAAGCCGTACCTGCTATATTGGTAACAGTGCATTCAGAATTGCGTGTAGACTCAAAGAACTAAGTTCTATATTCTACTGCACATAGCAAAAATTCTAAAATTTTACGAGCTTGCATTTCAAACTGTCTTAACTCTTTAATGCTTGCGTTTTAATGAAGACACTATACAGTATGCATTAAAGGTGACTTTCAATGTTCGAAATATGCCATACATTGTTTTTGGCTATGCAATCATCTTACGGAGCTCCGTAGATTGCCCAATATACATTTTGGACAGGTTTTGGCCACAATTTTGTTCGTGTTGGTATTTAATGTTGTTGGTAGGAGTAAAGTGGATTAGTCATTTATAATGTTGCTAATTTACTTTGCTTTTACTATTTTCCTTGTAATACTTCTGTAACATCTGAAGAAACCTGTTATTGTTCAGGTTGTATCTATTATTGATTTGCTATTTGTATGTTAAGAGAAAACTTAAATTTTTTTATGAAATCATAAAGCTTTTTGTTCAGGAATCACTTCTTATACCATCAGTAAGGATCAATTTAGTTATTCCAGTAAGCACAAAGAAAGGTGTCTTAAAATTTTAGGAGTTCATTACTTTTGCCACCCATCCAATAATGTTAAAAGTTTCTAACTTAATATCTGATTTCATTTGATAAATATTCTTGATAGCCAATTATTACTTTAACCATTTGTTATATATGTCAATTTTTTACTGAAAAATTTCAGCCTTCACGGGTGGTTATAGAAGAACCCCCTCTAGAAGAGAATCTCAACCGAATTCAGTTGGATGGAGAAGTTGCTCAAACAGTTGATGAGGCTATCTCACTCCTGAGGTAAAAATTAAAATACTTCATTTGGAATTGTGAAGTACAAAATAATATTGTTTGTTGTTGTACTAATAAATAAGATCTATTGTTTTGTTTCAGTGAACAGTCTGATGTTGATAAACATCCTGAAAAACGTCTCAAAGCTGCATACACCGCTTATGAAACAGTACAACTTCCTAGGTTAAAAGCTGAGAACCCTACTCTTAGATTGTCACAACTTAAACAAATGCTAAGAAAAGAATGGCTGAAGTCACCACAAAATCCAATTAATCAAAAAGTGTAAATGTAAGTAAAATGCTCTTTTTTGCTATAAATAAAAATTCAAAATTTTATATGGCTTAACATGGAGCATCTATAAATAAAATAATATTGTTCAAAATTATAAATAAAAAAATTGGTTTATTACCTACTGTTTTATTTTTCAGTTCTCTTAAATTAGAATATGAAGTAAATTGCAACACAAAAGTGGCCAGAAGTTTCCATAAGCAGCTTTCCCCTCCTAAAGGTGTATGACCAGTTGGTTATATGCATTACGCCAAAAGTACATTTATAAAATAAAATGCCACGTCCTGCCTAGCACTATAGGGAAGACTGACAAATAAATAAAAGCAGTTTAATTTGGCTCATTTTTATAGTGGAGAGGTATACCCTTGCGGCCTGCTTCAGCTTTTTTAACTTCAGTTTCACCCAACATTTGCTCTAAACCTTTCCAAGACCTGCTTTCAAGATTGTTCCCAATATTTTCTAGGGCCCAATTTTGTTTTTTATCCAATTCCATTGTGGATTCTTGCCTGTGGTCCACTTTAGTCTCCCTTATCTTGCCTGTAATGAGGCTAACATCTGTGATTTCCTTGATACAATCAATATCACAGTGATGTCGATTTCCAGTGAGTAACTCATCATAATCTGTGATATGTGTTGTAAAATATGGATCCCTTTTAGAGTTCAAAGCTACTTCTAATTCATAAGGGTAAACAATAGGTTTGTAGAACTCTCTGCTATTATACAAATCATTTTCTGGACATGCTATCATTGTATATATATCTATCTGGAAAATTAAGACAATGTATTGAGTCACAGTCTGTAGTTGTTATCAATTTTGTGGCCAAGTCACACAAATTATGACAAAGTAAAATATGATATTTTTTTGATTTACAACAATATGACTATAATTGCTATTTCTTCTTTCAAATGTTAAATACTTGCAAAGGTATTCATTTGACATTGTGGGTTAGCTCGGAGATAATGTTGCCTTGAAGCCTAAGAAATACTAGAAGAAATTCGACACGGCCATTAGGGCCGCGGTAGCATAGTCGGTCAGTGCATCCGCTCCAATAGTGGAGGGTTGGGTCCCGTCTGCTGCATGACCCACTTCGATTTTTTTCTATTAAAATTTTCTATAGAGATGATATCGACAGTGGAAAGCAAAATCACTTATACGCCCCTTTGGTACTGCTTAAAAAAATATCTTTAAGTAAAAAGAGGTTAATTTTCAAGCAAATCTAAACTGGCTGTCATATTAAAAAGGGGTTTTTACAAGACCCAAGGGGTGGTGCAAGAACCCAAGCCAACCTCACCTTCGCGTGGTGCACCCTGATGACCAACAGACACAGAGAATCTGGCAAACCGACCGATGGCAGTTTAACTATCCAAGGACGTAGGGGAAGGAAATCTCACTGGTGACGGGCAGCAGCGTCATCAGTGAATTAACCTATGTTCTGCGATCGCCAACCCGCTTGCCCAGCGTGGCGATTACGGGCAATACCTTTAAATGCACTGAAAACAAGCCGCGGCCCCCAGTTCCCGGCAGCCCCGCTATTCCTGGTCACAATGGCGACCACGGTAACGGCGGGGCCAAGAATCTCCGGGCTACGAGAGGCCACCACGATGGACTGACCCTGGAGACGTACAACGGACGCACGCTACGGCTTGACTCGCAGCTGGTGCAACTCGATGTGAAACTTGAGAAGATTAGGTGGCACATTCTAGGGTTAAGTGAAGTCCGAAGAGAGGGGGAGGGCACCATAGCCCTCGAATCGGGTCACCTAATGTACTTCCGTGAGGGAAACCAACAGTCCCAAGGTGGCGTTGGGTTTTTGGTAATTAAGTCCCTTGCCGATAACTTTGTAGAAAAGTCCAGCGTGTCGAACAGGGTAGTGTACCTTATTATAAAGCTCACCGAGAGGTATAGCCTCAAGGTGGTGCAAATGTACGCACCGACCTCGACACACTCGGGACGACGAAGTGGAGTATATGTTCGATGATATATCGAAGGCCCTCCACTCCACTACTAAGACCCACTACAACGATATTATGGGGGACTTCAACGCTGAAGTGGGAGTACAGAATTGCAACGAATCGGTAGTAGGATCCTATGGATTTGGAAGCAGAAATCATCGGGGGCAAATGCTCCTCAACTTCCTCAAACGGGAGGGGCTCTTCTTGATGAACTCCTTCTTCAAAAAACAGCCCCAAAGGAAGTGGACGTGGCGAAGCCCCGATGCTATGACTAAAAATGAGATCGATTTCATTATGACGGACAAGAGATACATATTCAGAGACGTCTCTGTGATCAACAGGTTCAATACCGGTAGTGACCACCGACTCATCCGGGGCTTTCTGAATATCAACTTTAAAGCCGAGCGCGTCCGTTTGAACAAATAAAGGATCTGAATCGTTCCAGTCAAATCTGGAGAGCCGATTTGCTGCCGTGGAAACCACATCAGATCCCCCTCTCGGGGGATGATCGCTTCAGATGAAGCTTGTAAGGCCCTTCTGGCCATAAGCATGATTAAAGGGTGTTTTTTAGTCAGTAAGAGTCTGACATAACCTTACAGCCGGCTGTAGGGTATCCATGAGGATTTCTCACCCTCTCCCCCGCCTGGGAGGAAACAAAAAAAGCGTAAACCAAAACCTCGAAAATGTGGTTCGAATCCTCAGGGAAGAGGGCTCAAATACTCTTTCGATCGAGAAGGCGATCTAGCAGAATCGAGGGTCCAAAGTGTTCGTACAATCTCTTGGAAGAAGCCATCTGACGAAGTTGACCACAGCAAGTGGGGAAGTTGTTTGCTTCAAAGCCGGCAGTCCTTTCGGAAGTGGAAGACTTCTACGGCCAATTATACGCATCACATGCATCTCGACCCGATCCCGGAAATGAGGATTCTAGAGACACATTAACTCGCCACTTCACCGAAGACCTGCCAGAAGTCAGGATTGGCGAAATCGAGATTGCTCTTGGGCAGCTTAAAAATGGAAAAGCCCTGGACAGGATGGTGTTACAGCAGAACTCTTAAAAGCTGGAGGTAAACCCGTACTGAGGGAGCTCCAAAAGCTTTTTAACACTGTTCTGTTCGAAGGGAGAACTCCGGAGGCGTGGAGTACGAGTGTGGTCGTCTTGTTCTTTAAAAAGGGAGACAAGATCCTACTTAAGAACTATCGACCCATATCCCTTCTAAGCCACGTCTTTAAGCTGTTCTCAAGAGTCATCGCGAACCGCCTTGCGCGAAGACTTGATGACTTCCAACCACCGGAACAGGCTGGGTTTCGGAGCGGATACGGCACCATAGACCACATCCACACAGTGCGGCAGATTATACAGAAGACTGAAGAGTACAATCAGCCCCTGTGCCTAGCATTTATGGACTATGAGAAGGCCTTTGACTCGATTGAAATCTGGTCTGTCCTGGAGTTCCTGCAGCGTTGCCAAGTCGACTGGCAATACATCCAAGTGATTAATAGTCTCTACGAAGCCGCCACTATGTCGGTCCAAGTAAAGAATCAGAATCAAATCCCATACCGTTGCATCGTTGAGTGAGACAAGGGGACGTTATTTCCCCGAAACTGTTCACTAATGCAATGGAGGATATTTTTAAGAGGCTGAACTGGAAAGGACGTGGCATTAACATAAATAACGAACGCATCTCTCACTTACGATTTGCAGACGACATCGTCATCATGGCAAAAACCCTGCAGGATCTACAACAGATGCTGAATGACCTGGCTGACTCTTCTATACGCATTGGCCTACGGATGAACTTAGATAAAACCAAGGTCATGTTCAATGAACATGTTCTACCGGAACCGATTGCAATACACGGTGCCGTTCTCGAAGATGTTCAAAAATATGTGTCTCTCGGGCAGACATTGCAGTTAGGTAGAAACAAATTTGAAGACGAGGTGAATAGAAGAATTCAACTGGGTAAGGCAGCGTTTGGGAAGCTACGTCGGATCTTGACATCGTCGATCCCACAGTGTCTAAAGACGAAAGTCTTCAATCAGTGCGTCCTACCTGTGATGACATACGGAGCCGAAATGTGGACACTGACGATACGGCTGGTCCATGAGTTCAAAGTCGCTCAGCGCGCTATGGAAAGGGCTATATGCTCGGCGTTTCTCTGAAAGATCGCATCAGAAATGAGGTGATCTGACAGAGAACCAAAGTTATCGACATAGCCCATTGAATAAGCAAGTTGAAGTGGCAGTGGGCTGGCCATATTTGCCGCAGAACCGATAACTGTTGGGGTACTTGAGTTCTGGAGAGGAGAGCGCATCTAGGCAAACGAAGTGTAGGACGTCCTACACAGTGCCACAGTGGAGTGACGATTTGCGCAGGGTGGCTGGCAGGAGCTGGATGCGAGTAGTCCAAGATCGACCTTAGTGACGTGCAATTGGAGAGGCCTATGTCCAGCAGTGGACTAATGTAGGCTGTTGATGATGATGATGATGAAGGGTAAACAAGACTCGTTTGATTTAATATAAAATAAAAAAGTTAAAAGGTGTCTCATTGTTGAGAACTGCTTCTCTATTTGTGTTAAAACAGATGTTATTTTTCATAGCAACCTAAATATGAAATTCTTACCTCTGGAAAATTTGCTAATTTGGCAACATTTGGCTTTCCTACTGATACAATGTAGCTTTTCTTGCCATTGATGCGACATAGCTGCTTCATTCTATTTATAATATCTTTAGTCTGTTCACCAGCCAGCTTACAAATCAGAATACCAATAACATCGGCATCCTTACACTTTTCAACCAAGAAGCGTCTACGTTTAATCCAATGTGCTTCTTCCATGTGCTCTAATTTCATCTTTTCAGGGTCCAAAAGATACCAACTCTTGGCTGTGATAAAGAAAGAAAATTATAATCAGTCTCACTCTTTTCTAAAACAAATATTCACAATTTTAAAATTTTGTGTTAAGACATATACCACATGCCATATAATTAAATTCGTATATTTCAATACCTGCAATAGAAATGGCCAAATTAAACATTGTTTGTCCTCTGGAACCAATATACACACAAGTACAGTCTTTGAGAACATCCACCACATATATCTGACCAGTAGCATCTTTGAGAAGTCGGCCTAAGAATCTATCTTTGTGTTCTTCTTTTTCAATGTAACCAATGTAGCTTCCGGGGTAACTTTGGAACCAAAGTTTCTTTAAATTTTCTGTCATAAAAATGATATCAAAATTATTAGAGTATCTACATATCAAACAAAATCATTTGTTAAAATTTTAACTTAAAGAAATACCTTTGCAATGATCAAATTCTGCTCCATAAAGTAGACAGACTTTGGTATCTTTAAGTGTCTGTAGATTCTCTGTGATAATTTTTATGGTTTTATCAATATTTAATTCTGCTTTTGGTAGTACAATGTAAACAGGAATGTTGGTTTTGGAGAAACAGGTGTGGCCATAGTGAACAACTGCATCAGATTTCACATGCATTGCTGCTACAGTATCAATACAACAACTGCGAAACATAAATTTATGCACAGATCATAATTTTAAACAGTATAATAAAACAAGTGACCTTTATCGTGAGAGCTATTTAACTATGGTATTGTTAACATTATTTGGCAAATGTCTATAATTGTAGTCAGTCTCTATAAGCACATTTTAATGACTTTCTACTTGGAAATGAAATTCCCTAATGGTTCTTACAAATTAGAAAATATCTTCAAGTATCTTTAGTATGATAGGTATAATGATACCTGGCGTATGATGTGTCTCCAAGTACGTATAAATCGGCATCAATTCTTTTCCTTAGTTCATCATAAATTATAGTGCTAGCTGGCAATAATTCATCAGGAAATTGAAGTGAAATCTGTGAATTTGTAAAGCTTCAATATTTCACTTTCATCAAATACTTAAGTAAACATAATAAACATTTAAATATTTAGTTACCTTCGTAAACTTATTATCTGCTATCCATTTGCAAGTTCCTTCGATATCAAAAGTTAAAAGCAAGTCACTATAGTCGTGTTGTTCGATATGTATCTCACGATCTATACATAATTTGCTGTCTGTTGTAAAATTTGCCATTTTAGAAAAAACAAATTTAATTAAGTTATGTAGCTATCCACTATCCAAAGTTAAGTATCGCAAAGCATGCAAACCTCGTGCCTGTGTACAAGTACAACTCAAAATCAAACGATTGCAAAGCGGAGATTTGTTTTCACGTAAAAGTCCTTGGGTAAAAGTCTGACTTTGACATGTAGAGCTGTAACAAACCGTATGTATTCGTTACCAAGTAACGGGTACATCACCTGACTTCAAGTAACGAATCGTTACTAATACATTTCGTTACTCGTATGTGATGTGCTGTACCCTTAGTACTAGTTTGAGCTCACGAAAACAGCTATCATAGTTTTCGTAGTAATTGTAAAACTCGCACTAAGGGTAATAATGATGTCAATTCGATTCTGTGTACGGACGTACGAATTCAACTGCGCATGTAACATTGATGCTTGAATTGAATCAGTTTGCTCATCTTGCGTTGTATCATCTTAAGTTTCGTGATGAACAAATACTTATTATTGTTCGTTGAATAGAATGTGAATGAAACATACATAAGAATGAATGGATTAAGTGACTGGAATGAGTTCAGTTCAGTTACGTTTTGTGCGTCGCCGGAGCGGCCACTGTACTACACTTGTTAAAATTACATTACAGAAATACTGTTCATCAAAAATATCCAGTGTGGCTTCATTTACTGCAAACCCAGCGACCGCCACAGAATGTATTTAAACACTCGTTACGAAAAATTATTGTTTAAACAACAACAAATATGTATACTGCAAGAGGTCAACAGTTAAAAAATAAGTATTATGAATGTGATGACAGTTGGACTTCAATCTAGTATACTATTATAAGTATAGTAACTAAGGAAAGTGATTAGACAAAGTTTGAAGCTGAAATTGAAATTTAAACGTACAACGTCATATTATATATAACTCGACTCGACACGATCAATGCAGTGCTTTACACTAGTATCGAAAGTAACGAGTATTGATTTTATAGTAACGAATACATACGAGTATCAAATATCTCGTTACTTTACAGCTCTATTGACATGACATGCTTGCTTTTTTTAAGTTTTACGGCCGTGAGTTTCTCTATTTCGGCTATATTTTTTTTAGGATTCTCCCGTTTTAGGGAAGGCAAAGGGAAAAATGCCCATACAGCCTGGTCTTTAGTTATAAATCTTCTTTTTTTTACACTACAATGTTGGTGTAACACATTCTAATGCTTCTTGGAGCGTTTGGCACGAAATGTATCGAGTCAGCTTTCTCGAAAAGTCAACACTACAATAAATCTCACAATCACTATAGCGAATATTTTAGATTCCGTTAACTCTTCAGTTGCACAGACGATTTTAACACAATCACATCAATTTTATTTCACAATATCCACTATCATCATCATGTCAGCCGTACGACGCCCACTGCTGAGCATAAGCCTCCCCCAAGGATCTCCACACCGATCGGTCCTACGCCACTCGCATCCATCGGCTTCCCGCGACCTTCACAAGATCGTCGGTCCACCTTGTAGGGGTCTGCCCACTGAGCGTAGTCCGGTCGTGGTCACCATTTCAGAACCTTTCCACCCCAAAGGCTATCGGTTCTTCTTGCTATGTGTCCCGCCCACTGCCGCTTCAGCAGAGCCATCGTTCGAGCGATATCGGTTACCTACTTTCAGTGCCGTCTTTGACCTATTGGAGGCCCTGGGCATATTAGAATAATGGAGCCCCTATGAGTTCCGTTTGGTGATTTAACAGGAACTAGGGAGTTTGTATTTGATCTATCGCGGGGCCTTGGGCACTTGCCCAAAGTGCCCACTGGGAAAGACGGGTCTGCCTACTTTGGTTCTCCTACAGATTTCTTCATTTCTGATTCTATCGCGTAGGGAAACACCGAGCTTAGCTCTCTCCATTGCTCGTTGAGTGACCTTGAGCCTTCTTATGAGCCCCGCAGTAAAGGACCACTTCTCGCTTCCGTAGGTCATCACTGGCAACACACACTGGTCAAAAACTTTTTAGACTGAGAGCCAGTGATCCGCAGACTTACGGTATAGTAGCAAACTTCATATTAATTCTAATTATACTTATTCATCTACTGTAGATCAAATGGTGGTTCACTATTTCCATAGAGAGTTCCTTTAGGCGTGCCGAGAAGTCGAAAAGCATGAAAATCGAATAGCTAGCACATAGTCGCAACACAGCAGATAAGTGGTGCAGTTCCACCATTAGACTTCTTGTTTTTATTTGTGTCAATGATTTGAATTAATTAATGTGGTATTTACTATGTATAGGTCGGGCGACCATGCTAGAAATACAGTTTTCGCAAGAGCAGATCATCACTTTTGTGAAATAGCAAATAAAAGGCAGAACTATTAAAAATACTTTTATACATTTTAAATTACCTTAGGGTACTAAAGTGATAGGATGTTGAATATTATGATCTTGTTCAAATATAATAGGGATGATGACAAATTTTTTTTTCTTCGTTTATCAGGTAGATTATCAAAAAGTATTAGTACACATATTTTTTCTTTTTTCACATAAGTGAAAATTCACTCAAAAGTGACATCACGAGCCCCTACTCCCAAACTTTGATGCACTATAACTTTGTCATTTTTTGGTTGATTGCCCAAAGAAAAAATATGTGTCCATTATTTTTTGATCATCTAACTGACGGACTAAATAGAATTTCGTTTACTGTACCCCGTCATCACCCCTATTGTATGTGTATTATCTAATACCCCTCATCATTGATAGTGATGGTATACTGAGGATAGGCATCTTTAACAAGCTTGGCAGTTATTTCATGGTCTGCTTTTCCATAACCTTGAGAGTACCCATAGATGTGGATTTTTTTATTGTCTGGTTCATGTGAAATTCTTCCTCCTCCTAAAGGCTCACAATCTAATGGCTGAAGTTTTTCTTGTACCTAATAATAAAAAATACTAGGTGACATTGAATAATATAATGATTAACTGATGAATAGGTAAACCGTAAAATTATGGAGCTGACACATACAAAAGTCTAATCTAGTATTTTTGCTACTTTAATTTCACAAAAGCGGGTGTCCATTCTGGCATAAATCTCTAAACTTAAAACTAAATTAAACATATACACTGTTGCCAAGTTTAGGTTTAGAGAATCATGTCGGAATCAACACCACTATCATCCTAGCAAAAACTAGCAAGAAGGAAACTGAATAAACAGAAAAATGCCTAATGAGCAAAATTTACAAAATACTGAAACTGTTAATGACTAATCTGATAAATTGGTGAAATTTTACAAGTAAGGAAACTGACTAATGGTATGCTAACTCCTTTCATCAAGTTTAGGTAAGTAAAATTTAAATTGTCATATCAATAATTATCACAACAGTTTATTTCTATAGTTCTGAAGACAAATATCTCTCAAATACTCTTTTTTTCTACCCAACTTAACAAACTTCATTTTACCCATGTTTTAAGGGGCTGGGGGAGGGGGGAGGCTACCCTATCAGAGTGAATCTTCTTTTTCATAAAACAGTTTCAACAAAAAAAAACATACCTCATCAAAAATATCAGCATGATAGTTGCATCTCTTATATCCTCGGACAATAGTTACAAAAGGTTCCTGGTTATCCTTTTCCTTGCCATATACTTTTAATAATATGTATTTAAATACTCCAGATGGATCAATATCCACCTTAGGTATGGATTCGAGAGGACAGGAACACATATTTAAGATGCTTCTCGCAGGTACGTATGCTGGAAGAGTATTTTTTTACCGTAAACAATCACCCCTATTTCCCCAACCTAAATAACCTATACATGATGCATTCGATCATCAAAACTACATCAGCATGTCTATCAGTACCTATTTAATATTAAAGTTTAAGGTTGGGATTGGTACATAGAATTAAAGTAAATTTACCTTTCACCAAGAAACGAAAATGATTCATAGGATTAGCCTTTTCTAACCGGCGATTATATTACAACATTTAATCTATAAATAACAATGTTCTCTGTAAGGTAATCTTAATCATTCACTTTTGGATCGCAGTCTATAATAGAACACGTGTTATAACATTATGCAGCATTAAATACCCGTGTTAATTATTTAAATACCTACTTGTAGTTTTAGCAATTTAATTTTTGTGGTCACGAGCTATTTCAACTATACACACAACAGTACCCCTAGCACGAACCATTATCGAATTCGTATCGTTTGCGAGTCCGAAATGTCATTGTCAAATCAAATGTGTACTGATTTTTAGTTCTCGTTAGGTACGTACTTTATGCCAGTGTTGCCAACTCGGATTTTGAAAAAGGCGTAGGCCCGATCAGAAAATTACGTAGAATTGGTAAATTTTGCATATGAAAAGTAAGTAGATCTACACACTTTTTTCTGAGTGAAATGAAGAAGTTATTTGAAACCGAATAAAACGAGTATTTTGTTAAACAATTTGTTTAAGAACGGGAGATAGAACGAAGAGTTTTTGGAGAAGTCGCTGCATTGGAAGCATTTACCATGCTGTGGTAAACATTTACCATCAGACACAGACACTGGTGGGTGCCGATTCTGGATGGTTCTCTAAATTTAAAACTTAATTTAACATCAGTCTCTCCTTTTCATTCTGTATAGAGAATGACAAGGATAAACTGTTGTTAAATGGGCTAGTTGACACTTTTTGGAATTATGTTTTAAATTGTTAATAATTATTCTATCAGAACGAAAAAATTTTTTTTTTACCTAGAAGACATACAAAAACGCTCTTTAGTCTATAGACTTATCTATGCTATGGCGCCAAAACATTTGTATACAAACACTCGCAAGCACGTAGGAAATAAACTTTCTAAGTTAATATTATAAAACCATGATTTCTAATAGATCACATGAAAAATATAGTAGTTATCATGATACACTTGGTAAATCACTCTAGAAAAGTTATGGTTTAAATTGCCAAGAGAAAAAACATACTTACACATGAACATATGCTTAAAACTTGCTAAATCCTGTAACTTTATCGACTGAAAGTCTTTTCCTTTTGCAAATATCAATTCGATGTGAGTATGTACTCATTGATAATAGTAAAAGTTTAAAAATACAATTTTTAAGGTTATGAATGTACCTAATAAGTAAAAGAGTTTTGTCGTTTCTGCTTTCACAAATCCTGCGTCCAGCATTAATTTAGTCGACAAAACCAATAACGGGAACCTTTTCTACAAGATGCAAGAGTGTTTAGATACATCTTCTTAAATATTCAATATAAAATATTCTTTTACAAATTTGAAAAAAATTAAGAAAATACGTAGATTCTGGGACTTAAGTTAGTAGGTTTCCAGAAAAGGCCTAAAATACGTAGATCTACGTAAAAAGACGTAGAGTTGGCAACACTGCTTTGTGCCGCTGCTGTTCAAGTTTCCATACAAAATTTGACATTGACATTTCGGTTTGCAAACTATTCGAATTCGATAATGGTTCGAGGGGTGCAGATTACAATAAAGTATGTATTTTTTTAACTTTTAGCAGAGTTTGAACCAGTCTCTCTGAAAATTATTGTCTATGGAAGTCAAAAAGATAGTAGGTATCTTGCAAAAAAAAACCGGCCGGGTAGCTTTCCAATTACAGCATTAAAGCGCATTAAGCGGCTTAATGCGCTTATCACACGCAAAAGCTTCACCACAGTTTGGCCTGCGCAAGCATCTCGCACGAAAAAACTGTACACTTTGTGCGTTACCACACGGCACAGTTAAGTACGCGCAAGCCTCATTCTTATCGAAATCATTGGCGTGGAAACAATGTTTCCTAATAAAGAAACATTTCTTATGCTACTATTTTTCAAGTGTTTGCTATTAAAAAGAACATGTAAAAACGATAGGATATATACATAATATGTGCAAGTAGTTGGTAATAGGTATTAGGCATAGGCATTTAATTGCAAAAATTATGTTCTTACCTCTTTCATTTTATTTATCATTCTTTCGTAAGTGTCGTTCTTTTTATTTCGGTCGGAATAATCTTTAGATGTAATTTTCCAGAGTGCAGGCAGAGATTTGTATAAACTAATTAATTCAGACGTGAATTCGCGATTGTACGTACGCAAATCTGCCATTTTTGAGTGACGATGACGAACGACCTCATGAAACGACGAGCGAGCCTCGACTCAAAATACACTCGACTGTGGCTTGAACACTGAACGCCCAACCACACGCACAGACAAGTACGCGCAGGCCGGGCTTGCGCAGGCAAAATTTCAAGCAAGTCGTAAAGTGCGCAGGCCGCGCTGTGGGGTTGGCGCGTGATACAGTTTTACCAACTACACGCACCGTGTTCCGTGTACAAACCGGCCTGCGCAGGCAAAACTGTGGTGAAGCTCGTGCGTGTGGTAGGCCCATAATGCTTATCGTTGAGTGTTTCAACTACAGCAACGCTTCGCACAATCGAGCACTCTCAAAAGTAATGCTTTCGTGTGATGCGTGCAATCGTACCAACTCAGAGACAGAAAATTAACAAGTCTTTAAGTTGGCATTGATCGAAATGTTTTATTTATATGTTAACGTTAGTAATATTGAAAAATTATTAAAACTTTCGTTTCACTATAGTTTTTTTTAAATAATCAAAGTTAATTCAAACTGTGTTAAAAAATTAAATATAAATATGGATGAAGGTACAAACATTGACTTTTTTTTCAACACTGAACTTAGCGCACTCTGCTGGTGCATTTGAAAACTAATTTACGTTCCAATTAAGCATCTGCATAATTCGGCCTTGTGCGCCACTGAGTAGCATTATGCTCTGTAATTGGAAAATCACCCAAGTCTGAGACTCGCGCACCGCACAAACCTGAATTTTCAAAAATATTTTTTATTATATGATGTAACTAAAAATTTACGGTTATCGCAATTTGTCCTTTATCTGTACTATAAGACGTTACTTCGTCAATTCGGTATAAACATATCTTTTGATTGCTTTGGCTTAGAAGTTTGATTTTTTCACAGCTCCACAGACTATTAGATGCTTCCGCATCACAGCTCTAAGGGACAGTAGACCTGAGTATTAGATATGACTTTCAGTTTGATATCTCCTCCTGAGAAAAACGGTCTTGACAGACGGACGGACGGACGGATAACAAAATGATCGTAAAAGGGTTCCGTTTTTTCGATTTGAGGTACGGAACCCTAAAATAGTACAATCATGGCCCAAAAACACAGCGTGTCAGGTCTGCCAGCAACTTATTGTCATGAGCATGGTATAATACAGTATAATAATAGGGAAGGTACGGCACTCTCAGTGACAACAGGTCACGCGGGTGACACAAGTTATCAGCAGCCGATGGAAGTCCACTGCTGGACATAAGCCTTCTCAAGGAATTTCCATATGCAAAGATCCTGCGCTCTCCACATCCGTTCACGTCATAGCCAATAGCAATAGACTCTTGTCTTTGCCATTGGTGGTGGTGGTGGCAACTCGATACATTAGATGATATTAAAATAATTTAATTACATAAATGACGTCATCCTCCCTTTACTTTGGCAACCGGGTGGGCGAATGTGTGGGAGACTACGCGAAGGTTCGTGCACTTTGATGTGCGTCTAAAAACCGACATCGCTGGGAAAAGTGCGGTGGTTTTGCAATTACAGCACTAGCGCGCATTATGCGGAATAATACTTAACGTTGAATGTTTTGATGGTTTTCCAATTACAGCACTAGAACGCATTATGCGGCATAATGCTTAACGTTGAATGTTCCAACTACAGTAACGCTTCGCACAATCGAGCACTCGCAAAAGTAATGTTTTCGTGTGATGCGTGCAATCGTACCAACTTAGTGGCAGAAAATTAAGTGTTTTTTCTTTAAGTTGGCATTGATCGATTTTTTTTATTTATCGTTAGTAATATTATTTATTGTTGAAAAAAATTTTAAGCCTTTCGTTTCATTGTAGCTTTTTTAAATAATCCAAGTTAATTCAAGCTGTATCAAAAAAATTAATATAAGTATGGATGAAGGTAGAAACACTTTTTTTTAAAGACTGAATTTAGCGCACTTTGCTGGTGCATTTGAAAACTAATTCACGTTCCAATTAGGCATGAGCATAATTCGGCATTGTGCGCCACTGAGTCGCATTATGCTCTCTAATTGGAAAACTACCTACGAATGTAGCTCAAACTTCGCGAAGCCATTCTCGAATGCCGTCCCACATATGCGGTTTTGCGCATCGGTTTGTGAGCTGTTTGATGTACGTCCAAGACATTTATTGTACCTAGAGCGTAGGTTTGGAACGTAGCCCTGGTGCTGTCTTAACAAGTTTACTTTCGCTATGGTAGGGATATCATGCCCATAATCTCTGTAATCTGTGGGGTGTCAAAGAGAATATAACCTACCTTCGTAGGGATGAACGATGCTATCTAGGTATCGATACTTTTACTCGACACTGTATCGGTCATAAAGTATCGATGCCCACTCGGTATCAAGTCAAAAGTATCGATACTTACTTGTATCAATAAATGACGAACGATATTACAATTATAAATTCAGTCACAGTATTAATTTAACTTAAACAAAATAACGGCTCACGCCACGCAATGAGCGAACGACTGACTGAATAAATTGGAATAAATATAAATCATACGCAAGGCTGCCAACTGAGCAGTAGAAAAGATACGTTCGCGAAACAAAAATTAAAGACACCTTACCTTAGGGTACGGCCACAGTGCAAGCAGGTTCAGATTCAGATTCAGACTCAGAAAACAAGCACGAGAAAAAGCAGGCAACCTGCTTAGACTACACTGTTTATTTCTCGCGCTTGTTTTCGAAATCTGAATCTGAATCTGAATCTGAGTGCACTCTGGCCGTAGGGTATGGCCAGAGTGCACTCAGATTCAGATTCAGATTCAGACTCAGAAAGCAGGCTCGTGAGATGTCAGCTTGAGGAAAGCAGGTGATGGCCACAGTGGAGGCAGATAATACAAGACGCGGACGCGAGCACTGTTGCCAGGTTGGGGGAGGTTACTCCAAATTTGGGGGTTTTTTAAAGCGATCGATGGGGGGATTATCGGGGGAAGAAATATGGTTTTGGGGGAAACGGGGGTTTTCTTTTTTACATTTTTATATAAAAATAAAATCACCTCATAAACTTTTAATCTGTAAAAAGTCGCAATCGACAGTCATTCAACAATCTCTCTTTCTCATTCGACGCGTTCGAAGTTGTTGATCCAGAAACTTAAATTGGGGGGTGTTTTCGCAGTTGTAAACTTGGAGGAGTTTTCTAATGAAGATCGATCGGTGAATATGGGGAATACCATCATTTGTTTCCCTAATTAAAAGTCAATAGGAAACGTTTCTTCCAATATTTTAAGATGGAAGTGAAAACGTTTTAACCACTACATTTAAAAAAAAATTAACCTCACATGATGAAGAATTAACATCAGTCTCTCCTTTTCATTCTGTATAGAGAATGGAAAGGATGCACTGTTGTCAAATTTAAGTTTAGATTTAAAGAATCGTGCCAGAATCGACACCAGTATGTGGTTATAATATTTACTTTATTTTTGAAATAAATATATTTTTGTTGCCTTACTAATATTATAATAATAATCTCTAATATTTTTTAAGAAAGCTTTTACTGTTAAAAAAATGCTTTAAGCAAAATTTAGTAATTTCGCCTACTACGTATTTTTTAGAAATATAGATAGATAGATAGAAATATAGTATATAGTATTTGATCCCCTATTATAGGAGGATACTATATTTTATATGAGGGTTGGCAACACTACCTGCAGTCCGAGCGGCGCTGGTGAATTCAGAATCTGAATGACCTAAACATTCCGGTAAAGTGTCTGACTCCGAAACCTGCGCGAGCCCGCTGCCACTATGGCCACCCTGCTTTAACTACACTGTTTTATTTCTCGCGCTTGTTTTCGGAGTCTGAATCTGAATCTGAATCTGAGTGCACTCTGGCCGTACCCGTACCCTTCGACTACACTGTTTATTTCTCGCGCTTGTTTTCAGAATCTGAATCTGAATCTGAATCTGAGTGCAGTCTGGCCGCACCCAAACAGTGTAGTTTAAGCAGGGTGGCCATAGTGGCAGCAGGCAACCTGTTAGTTTATTTATGCCTATGAGTTTTTTTGGTACTTCTCAGTGAGTAACCGACCGAGTACCAATACAAGTACTTACTTCACGATACTACTTGTTACTCATTTCTAAAGTATTGATGCCAAAAGTACTTGGTATCGAAAGAAAAGTATCGAGTAGTTCCATGTATTTACTCGTATCGTTTCATCCCTCTACGTTCGTGGTTGGTTCGTGACAGTGTTGCCAACTCTACGTCTTTTTACGTAGATCTACGTATTTTAGGCCTTTTCTGCTAACCTACTAACTTCAGTCCCAAAATCTACGTATTTTCTTTTAATTTGTACAAATTTGCAAAATAACATAACTCAGTAGAATAGGGAAGCATATTTTCCGTTAACTATACAAATGTTTATTTCTTATAGTTTTTGGTATGAGGAACTGAAATACATCGATTTCACTTCATAAATTCAGAATGACGTCACAAAATTTATAAACAACTAAACGTCATTGTTGTGTTACTATAGTTTCTTTCGTCGGACTAAAATATATCTAAAGACTCTTATATCTTGTAGAAGAGTTTCCGTTTATTGGTTTTGTTGTCTAAATTAATGCTGGACGCCGAATTTGTAAAAGCAGAAACGACAAAGCTCTCTTACTTAGTAGGTACATTAATAAACTTAAAAAAAAAAAATGAATCAGTACTTACACCGAAGTGATCTATGCAAAAAGAAATGACTTTCAGTCGATAAAGTTACAGGATTTAGCAAGTTTTAAACATGTGTTCATGTGTAGATATGTTTATTTCTCTGGGCAATTTAAATTACAACTTTTCTGGAGTCTTTAACGTTGTGTTTCTACATTCTCGCATAATACAATCATGATAATTACTACAATACATTTTTTCTGTCTAATATAACAATTATTAACCATTTTAAAACATATTTTCAAAGGGTCAACTAGCCTATTTGACAACAGTGTATTCTTGTCATTCTTTATACAGAATGAAAAGGAGAGACTGATGTTAAATTTAGTGCTAAGTTTAGAGAATTATGTCAAATTGACACCTAGCAGCGTCTGTGTCTGATGGTAAATGTCTACCACAGCATGGTAAATGCTGCCAATGTAGAGTCTTCTCCAAGAATTCTATGTTCTATCTCCTTTTTTTAAATAAATTGTATAACAAAATACTCGTTTTAACGAACTAGCTTCTCTCAAAAAAAAAAAATACGTAGATCTACGAACTTTTCATATGCAATTTTTACTAATTCTACGTAATTTTGTCATCGGGCCTACGCCTTTTTCAAAATCCGAGTTGGCAACACTGGTTCGTGATCTCTAACAAGTCTGTGGTCTGTGGGTTCGTGTGGTCAGCGGGTCAATTATGCTTTAGTGATATAATCATAATGTGATGTCAATATGATGTTGATGCCAACTTGACATTGTTTTTAAATTGGTATTATGAAACATTCCTATGTCACATCAAGATCATATCAATATCATATCCTGTATCAAATTTTTGACGTTTTTGCGATACTGTTTTAAGTCAAAAAGTTGAACGTAATACGCATTTAAGTTGATATCATTTTAAAGAGTTGATCATAATAAGTACGCATAAGTTGATGTCATTTTGATATCGCATTTTTCGGAGAGCATAATAACGTAATGTGAAATTGACATCAAAACAATATCACAATTAGCGAGCATAATTGGCCTGCTGTGCAATGGTCTGTGGGTGAAACATGAAACTGAAACTTGATCGGTTTAAACATAATTAATTTTGGTATTGCTCCGAATTTTAGTTAATAATTACTTCTTAAGACCTAGGCTATAACATCACAAGCAATAAAATGGATAGTAATTTAACTGGTAAGTAAACATATTGTTTAAGTTAAGTTATAAGTATTGTTTTTTCGTGTCGCCCACACGAAATGTGTTCTCCCAACAAATGTTCTGTGGGATTGCGTTTTTGTATAATTAATCTAAAAAACAATATCTCATAAACAAATGAGTTTAGTTACTGATACATGGACCATAAATTCGTTTTGTGCAGGCTCGCCTAAATATTTTTATTCTATACACAAGATCATTTATTTTCTATTTAGTTTTTCCAATGTTTTGTAGAGCAAGTCTTTTTATGCAATAAAAATACCAGATGTTAAATTATATTATATTTATATTATTTTTAGGATTGTGGGTGAGCTTTTTCACAGCAGCTGGTATTCCTTCTGATGTAGCTGCCACATATGCACTTACATTCACAGAAAACCGCATTCAAAATGATATGCTTTTAGACCTTAACAAAGAATACTTGAGAGATATGGGCATCACTAGGATGGGTGATGTTATCGCTATTTTAAGGTAATTTAATTTATATTCACTTATAAAGTATATGTAATAATTATTTGTTTATAAATCTAGAAGTTATTGCTTAATAATCTGAATAAAGTTATACTTTGAAAAATTGATAATTCTAGGCATGCCAAATTAGTTCATGAAAATACTGCACGGGACAGGGTTCTAAACACTACCTCAACTGCAAATAAAGTGCCTGTTGCTGCCATAACAGGACGATCCACAGTCACCCAACCATCATCACGTTAGTATTTGTAAACTTCATTATAAAACTTTGTAGTTTATCAACAATATTGTCAACACCAAAAAAAAAATAATTGATGTCAGCATAGTAACAGCTGGTGGGTAGACAGCATTATAGAGCTTAGTGGCTTAGGCAATTAAAAACTTTTGTTGCTGAGTTCAAAATAACAACTGCTGTTAAGAAACAATCAGCATAAACATCTTTTACTGGAGGTTGATTATTGAAACTGGGCTTTGCCTTGCTGAGAACAGAGGCCCAAGCACAAACTTTGAGAGCAGAATCTTATATAATTGTCATAGTTTCTAAGAAAAATAAGCAGTTCCGGAGGAAAGAACAAACTGGCGCCTTCCATACAAAATTTGATGATCAATGATATGGTCACAGAGCTGTCAAAATTCGTGCTTGGGCCTTAGGACTTCCATTAGGTTACGAAGGTACTGTGTATACTATTGCAAAATAGTAATTACTAAATAATTAATGAAAATTAATAATTTTTAGGGTGTGTTTATAAAAGAATTAGTAGAAATTTAGGTAAACACTGGAGGCAATAGCTAAAAGAAAATAATATAGGTAGATTGGTTTCTAATATCCTGAAAAAAATAATTGAGAGGGATGATCTGTTTCTATTTAGACTGAACGAACTGTGAAATAAAGCAACTCATGTTGTGTAAAAGGGTCTTTCATCGTTCCAGCCTGGTTATGGTTGAGCCCGTGGGCCGAAACAGCAAACTATTTAAAACATTTTTTTTTGAAACAGTAAGAATCACCTGGTCTCTTTTGGCCTTCTTAGCTTCTCTGCAGCTTTCATGCTTCTCATTAGTTAAGTGTTCCTTCAAATATGTTGTTACCCCACTTCTCTTCTTTTCTTCTCTTTTTTTTCCCACCTTAATGTTTTCATCACCACTTGAGAATAGATCAAACATTCTTACTTTTTATATGGTGGACTTTTACTTGTTATTTGTTGTGGGCCCCTTTTCCCCACACAGACTCCATACTTGGTCCATTGTGCATGCAGGGCTTATTGGGATAGTTAGCACAGCCAGCTCAGCTCCTTCCAGAAGCACAGTAGTCTCCTGGGACTCTCACAGGCTTCTAGGAGCGTCCTCAGAGTCCTGTGGATTGGTGCCTGGTGTTCTGCCACTCTCATGCATTCACATTTTGCACAATTCACATGAGCGGCCATTTCGTCTGCTTCCAGACATCCTCTGCACAGAGAACTATCTGTAACATGTAAACTTAGTAAATGCTTATTTAGTAGGCAGTGCCCTATTATAGTGCCCAGCATTACTCAGATATCAATTCTGTTAAGATTTAGTAGTTTTCTAGTTAGTCTGGGGTTGTGGCTAAGGAACTTAGCCTAAGATTGCCTGCAGCCCTCGGTATTGGCCCAGCGGGTGTTGTGGCTCTGTATGGTTCGTTGGCGCACTCATGTACGAATTTGGTTAAAGGGTAACAGCAGAAGCCTTCTACTTTGTGTACTGATCCCCTTCTAGCTAGTTCGTCGGCTGCGTCATTACCTATAGAGACGCTATGTCCCTAAATCCATTGGTGGATAACCTTGTTCTCTGTTGCTATTTGCTCAAATGTTAGGTGACATTCATAATGTAGCCCAGAAGTTTTGCTGTTACTATCTAGGGCTCTTAGGACAGTCATACTATCAGTTAAAGTGCTGGTAAAGTTAGTTTTGTCGAAGGCGCCTTCAATATCTCTGAAGACTCCGAGCGTTGATTGTTTTGGTGATAGTCCGCTTTCTATTTGCTTGACTACATTATGTAATGCGGAGTTGGTGGATTTGCCCATACTGTAGGTATGTTGATTTGCATGTAGTGGTACTCGCTGTAGGGCATCATCCCTCAAATCTCTGTCACACATCCTCTCCAGCACCTATAGGAGGAATGATGTGAGACTTATCGGTCTGTAGGCTTTAGGTTGTGTGTAGTTACTTTTGCCGGGTATTGGTATGAAGATGACTTTCACTTCTCTCCATTTGGTGGGTATGTACCGATAGGTTAGGGATCCTGTAAAGATGCGCAGTATATGCCCGAATATCGACTCACCACAACATTACAGTAGGCATGGAAAGATGCCATCCAGTCCAGCTGCTTTAAATGGGAGTAAGCTTTGGATGGCCCATGTTAATGTGTGTTAGGTTTAATGATTTTGTGTGCAGCTGCCCAGTCACCTGATTCAGCATTGCAAATGCTTCATCTTCCTATTTTTGGTTGTCTTTAGTGCTACCGCCTGGGAAGTGGGTTTGCATCAGTACTTCACAGGTTTCAGCGTTGGTTTTCACACACTCATACTTGTAGCATGAGTGTTGTCTTGGAGGTCGCTACAGAAGCGCTTCCAGCATTCAGCTTTCCTGAATCGGATAAACTTTTTGTAGCGCGACGGTGCTTCCTTGTAGCGAATTTAATCGTATTCTAATCTGGTGTTTATTGCACTGTTGAACATTTTCCTTGCAATTTAGTCAGTTCAGGACCCCACCAGTTGTGTTTGCCTTTAGCTGTTGTGCGTTGCTGTGTGAGTGGGCAGGATTATTCATAACGGACGGTTAACGTTGACGTTAGATTATTCACGTTTGTGTCTATTTCCATAAGGTGATTATAAACCAGTGACGGCAGCCCTCTCTTGTAAGTCTGTCCTACATGAGAGGGCCGCGGTAGGGCCCGCGAGGGAAGCATCTAGGCTATTGGGTGCGGAGACGTGGTGTGGTCCCTCAACGGGGATCTCGCGGTTCCCCGCACTTAAACAGCGTAGAGAGTATTCGAAGGATATTTTTAGCGGATAGTATGCCGTAAGCTCTCGTAAGCCGCGCGGACTGCTTAACAGCTTATCCGTTTCGCACCCGTGAGACTTGCGAGAGGCCAGGTGTGAGGTCCATTCGTTGGTGTGCTCCTTTAAGAGCGCCAACGTCTATAAATAGAGGTTTGACTTGCGTAATAAAAAAAAACAAAAAGGGTGATTATAGTCCTCTGGTATGTGGAGACACTTCAGACTATATAGTGGTGGTTGCCACGAGGTCGTGTCAAATCACTGCTCGGTTGCGCGTCAGCCGGAGTCTGAGATGTCTTTTCAACAGGTTCCGCACCAGCGGTCCGGTACGGTGGGCTGGATCGACCAAGATTTTTTTTATTTTAAATAGTTCATTGTTACGGCCCGCGGGCCCAACCATCACCGGGGCGAAACGACGTGTTTATTTATTTGTCTAATAGTGTCCTATCTTTATTGCTCTACTGGTTTTGAGAGAGAGTATGCAGTGATATCTTCCATGCATTTTGTTTCTAGCGGCGAGCCGCATTCTAGAGCACTACACACGCAACTCTTCAAACCAAGAATCCTCAACATCAACTTCACAAAAGAGAAAACATACGGAAACTAGGTATTTTTTTCAAAAATAAAACATTAATTTTTATCTTTATAAAAACAATAAAAATTAATGTTTTATTTTTTATTGTTTTTATAAAGATAAACAGTAAACTCCATTTGCTCAACATTGAGATTGAGACCAAAAATATTCAGATGTTGTTAAATAAATTAAATAAAAATATAACAGATTTATACAAGTATTAAAAGAACTATGGCTAGGAATGTGTGCGCATATGATGCCCCACTAAGATTCAATCTTAGAATGTTTGAGCAGACAAGACTATTATTACGACCTATAAGCAATATTTATAACTTTATACTATATCTAGATTTATGTACTAGTAATAAACATTCAAAAGAAATAAGAAATAACATCCCTCTTTTTGCATCAGGTGTTTAAAAATGGAGTTGAATGCACAGTATAATTAACTTTGTATTTCTGTATTGTCAGTTAATGCATGTCCTTTAAAAAGTGCAGATTATTAACCCCTATATTTGTTTTTTACACAGAATCAATGAAGATTCCAGTATAAAGAAGGCACGTTTGATCCGTTTTGCAAGTCCAACAAAGCCTTTAGTCAAAGAAGGTAATAAACCCAACCACAACAAAAAAAAAATTGCTTAATTATTTGTGATTTTTATGTTCTTGTGTAATATGACTGTTTGGTTACCTCATAGCACATCCTGTCATTGGTGTGCAAACCTTATAAGTTGAGCTTAATTTTTTCATATATATACTTCCATAGTTTTTACTTTAACATTATTTGATATACTTTCAGCAGCTTCATCGACTAATAATCACAACAAGCAGACAGTGTTTTCAAGACTTGGAAATTCCGACGACATCAAAGTCGCTCAACAGAAACCCACAGAAGCGGCAGCCAAGCCTATATACGCCCGTTTGGGTTGCAAACCCGAGAATGTGGCAAACAATGCAACAATACCAATACAGAAAGATGCGCTTAAGTATGAAGGTATACTGAAGAGTAAGGCCGTTGTTAAGAAAACGGTGACCGTAACCACTACCAAGAACAACGTGCGCAGGATCGCAGTGGGCACGATGAGAGCTGACGAAGCACCAGTTAGTGTGAAAGAGAAACTCGCTATACCTACTAAAGCTAAATCTGTCAAATTTGCTAATCACGTCGAATACAAAGTGATAGAGGGCATTAAAAAACCCCCCTTAGTCCAACCAAAAGTGGTACACAAATCTACACCAGTCTTCAATAAACCCGAAAGGAGGCTGTCTATGCCCGAAGGCACTAACACAGTGAAAGCCAGATTGGGAGTCCCTAGTCGGAGCGCTAATAATTTAACCATCACAAGGAATGTGTTTAATAGGTTAGGTGTTTAGCATATAGTGTAGCGTTATTAGTGTTGCCTTTTTATACCTACAAGAAGTAGATGACATTTTTTCTAATTTAGGCACCTTTCTCACTCTTGGTCAGGGCTCGTTTCGTTTTTGTTTCTGTACCGAATCTGTACAGATACTTTACTAAATGCATGTAATTAAATGAGAGGTTTCTCACAAAGTCGTTTCGGTACAGAGTCCTTACCGAACGGATACACAGTTCTTGTGCTACCGAACCATTGAACTCGCCCGTCCCGTCACTCCCGCAAACAAAACGAAAGGATACCGCACCGACACTGAGCCGGGCAACAAGTTGTTCTTTATAATTTTTATTTTTTAAGCATGTAACTGCTTGATGTTTAAATCTAAAGAAAATATAACTAGAAAAAAAATCCACGCGGACCAGGCAGCAGACGGGACTCGAACCCCGCACCCTTCGCAATCCGGGCGAATGCGCTGACCAATTATGCTACCGCGGCCCTCACGGACCGCGTCGAAATTATTCTAGCCATTCTTAAGCTGCAAGGCAGCGCCATCTCTTCACATTATAGGTAACCCACAATGTCAAATGAATACTTTTACAAGTATTAAACATTTGAAAGAAGAAATAGCAATTATAGTTATATTTTTTATTGTTTTAAAGCATGTAACTGCTTGATGTTTAAATGTAAAGAAAATATAACTAGAAAAAAATCCACGCGGACCAGCTGCCTTGCAGCTTAATAATGGCTAGAAGAATTTCGACGCGGCCGTCAGGGCCGCGGTAGCAAGTGTTCTTTGTAAAGAATCTGTACAGATTCAGTACTGAGACGAAAACAAAACGAGCACGCACCGATCCGGTGATGTAGGCGCATAGTACATATCGTAAGATATTGTTTGTTTTGTTTTTTTTAAGTTGCTAGTCTTTTAAGTGGTTTTTTAACTGTGCAGCTGATGAAGTTATTTCATTAATTTAATTTTCAACTGTACAAATACATTGCCTATTTTGCTTCTTGAAATTAAAAAAAAATGTATATATCTCGAATGGTACAAAGGCTTGCCTTAAGTTTTGTGTTAAGAGAAATGGTTGAATTTTAACAAACTTGATTTAATCAATAAGTAGGTGATAATTTAAATTGATCAGTGGAATACTTTATGAAGTCGTAATAAAAGGTGAACTATTTTCAGTGGTAAGAGGAGCTAAACGCCACATTAAATGAATAGAAGGAGTATTTTACATTGAAAATTTTGTTCAAAATCCAGAGTAAAAGGTATGCATATTATTAAGCTGTTTGTGAGGAATGAAGAATGAGTGAGTACATTTCGAGAGTTTGTAATTATGTGTTAATATTAAGTAAGGTTTGTTTAAGATACTTATTTCTAATTGACATTCAGTGTTGTTTTCCTACTAGCAAGTAGAAAAAAAAAAATATTGTGTTTGAAAACGTGTTTGTTTTGATATTCGAATTCACTAATTACTTTCTTTTAAACTAAGTAATCTTCTATTCATTGAGATCGATAACCGATCCACTGTAGAATATTATGAACCTCATGATTGTGGATGAACAGAATGTGATTAATCTCTTATCTAATAGACGAGTCCGTCCGTCCGTGGTGCTGTTTCAGCGGCCAAACCGTAAGAGATAGATAAAGAGAATGTTTAAGTTATAAGTTAAGAATAGTCTGATAAGACTACAAACCGGATTTGAGTAACGTAGCACTTCCGGTTTTCGAGAAATCACGTGATTTCTATTTCAAACGAAACCACACAAAATCTCCGAAGTTCTCAATTAATTAAATACATTTTTTTTTGGTGATCATTTGGTTCACTGGTTTGCTAGTTTTGAGATAATAGCTGAGCGATACATCTAAAATTAAATCGGAAACAGGGGAGCCAAATGATGACGTAATAGTTTATTAAAGTAGCCTTCTAAAACAACCACTGCACCATGATATGACAGCAAAATCATTTGAGTTTTCATAGTAAGTAATTAAAAACCATTTTTTTTAAATTCATTATCATGTTGCGCGATGCTAATGATTTAGAATTGTTAGGTACGCCGTGTTTGATCACCTCATTCAAATAACATTTGGAATAAGGATTTTCTGGAATAATGGGCGCTAGGGGGCAGCACTGAAACGAAAGGTCTACTCTTCCGTCAAAGCACGTATGTCGTCATAGTCTGTGGATCAATTTAAATGGTCGTTCGAATTCCTATTAATTCACACCAGAAACTTCATGCAAAAGACCTCTCGTCACAGTGGCGCCAACTGGTGATGTCGAATCCGGCGTGATGCTCTAATTCGTAAATTAAATTTGACAAGAGTGTATCCTTGTCATTGTCTATACAGAGTGAATAGTACTCTGCAATTCTGATTGTCGGTTTAGGTATACATTATTTGATTGAGTACCTTATTTTATACCAACTTCAATAGAATACTCCATTCTCAATTTTTTTGGTAATAATTTTTTGACTTCACGAGGAGTTTTGTTTATTATCGCTTTTATTGTTTTCATGTTATGTGGTTATCCCCGCATAAGCACGGCGCGTTAAGATGTATATCATATTTTTATTACGCTCAATTGTAAAGTAAGTTTACCGACTTACTTCGGACACATCTATCGGCCTACCTAGCATTTTAAGTTTTCACGGTCCCTAGCTAAAAATAAATGTTACATTAAGTAAAAGGTCATTATCTACGCTGTTCTGAAGCTGATTTATTAACCATCTTCTCGTGTGTTTTTTTTAAATTATTGCTCAATCATAAACATATATTTTTGGTACAGACCACTTTGAAACTTATAACACTAAGGTAGTTTTCCAATTACAGAGCATAATGCGACTCAGTGGCGCACAATGCCGAATTATGCTGATGCTTAATTGGAACATGAATTAGTTTTCAAATGCACCAGCAGAGTGCGCTAAGTCAATGTTTGTACCTTCATCCGTACTTAATTTATTTTTTTAAGTTTATTTAAGTAGTTTGAATTAACTTTGATTATTTAAAAAAACTACAATGAAACGAAAGCTTTAAAATTTTTTTAGCAAAACTTCGCATCCACGCATCACACGAAATCATTACTTTTGAGAGTGCTCGATTGTGCGAAGCGTTGCTATAGTTGAAACATTCAACGATAAGCATTATGCCGCATAATGCGCTCTAGTGCTGTAATTGGAAAACTACCTGAGTGTGCCGATAGATGCGTCCGAAAGTATATAACATATCGCGGTGTCTATGCCTAGGGGAACAGTAACAAACTATGACTATTTTTGTTATGCAAGTTATATCTCTCATTTCATTTACCTTCTAGTTAGCGAACAGAGGTGCTACGATAAAAGATATTTAACTACACATAAATTTATTGTTTTCGATGGTAACTTAATTTATTTGGTAGGTAGTTGAAAATGTTGTAAATTTTTATAAGCCCTAGGTGAATATATTTTTGTATCGTAAATCGCGTACAGTTAATTAAGATTTGTATGGGAATATAAACAACGCCACAACGGATGTAACGAGAATTAAAAATATACCATACAAAACTTCTTGATATTGGTTTGTATTAAGGATACTGTTCTTAGCAGTCTTTTCTCGATTTTGTTTGTGTAACACGGAAAGAAATAGAGGCGCGTATACATGTTTTGATTTCACTTCTTGTAAACTTTACCATTAAATACTTTATTTATTTATTGACGTTTCGTGCATTAACCCGTAAAAACTAGTTTTATTTAATGAGTGATGTGTGTGAAAACCTAAGAAACAAACTTTACCATTGCATCTCTTTTTATACCATAACATCAATCGTAATTGTTAGTTTATTTTCTGATGCTACTTTAGATCTGAGAGCCCTTTAGCTATTGTGGTATTATGTAAAATCAACCCGATCTCAGGTTCCAAAAAACAATTACCTGAAGTCTTTTGAGAAAATTGGTCAGTTCATACATGTCTGTATCTTAGTTAGTCTTGTACTCAAGAATGATACAAACTCGTGTCAAATATTGTTCTCCTTTTCCTAAAATGCCACCATTTTCTTTTAAGATTCACGCAATATGCAATTGGCGCAATATAATAAATGTTTAATTCTACAGAAAATATAACTAGAAAAAATTCCACGCGGACCAGGCAGCAGACTGGACTCAACCTGTACCCTTCGCTATCCGCCCAAATGCACTGACCAATTATACTACCGCGGCCCTAATGGCCGCCTCGAAATTATTCTAGCCATTCTTAAGCTGCAAGGCAGCGCCATCTTTTTGCATTGTAGGTAACCCACAATTGTAATTTTTTTCTAGTTATATTTTCTTTAGATTTAAATATCAAGCAGTTATATGCTAAAAAAATTTAAATTATAGAAATAAATGTTTATCTGACTACCTATTAAAGTTAATTCTTATCTATCCTAAAGGTGGTATACTTTAATTTTATACCTACCTTATTATTTTTTAATTAACAATAAACTTACAAATATAGTAAATAATTAAAATTGTAATAAAGAATTTAATTAAAATTTTATTGTATTGATTTTCTAAGTTACACCTTACTTATTAACTGATCTGATGGCATAGCAAGCAATCCATTACCAAATAAGAATATATACTGTCAAATTATTCCACATGTTACTTAATGTTAAGCTATATAATGCGATTCAACTAAGAATAGGACCGACTGGGCGCCATATTTTGACGTCATAGCTGTCAATTCAAACCAAATAGGTAGAGTGAGCAAAAAATGTTGATATTCAATAGAACTTATTTACTAAGATTAAGTGAGACAAAACATCAGATTTTTTAATAAAATTAATTAACTAAGGTATAGAAAGAACACCACCGATTTTTAATCGTATTTCTTTATTAAGACTGAAAAAAAACATTAATCAGAATCTAGCTCTTAAATTTATGAATAATCATGCAGGTCACATACGAACATGCATCCTATTTGTAAACGAAAGTTTTAAATCGAGTTTTTGAACGCAACAAAGTGATATTTGGTTGACGATTTAGGTTATCAACCATTCATAGCCAAAGCTCAATCAGCTGAATGCTAAAAAAGTGTTCCGAGATTTTTTTGCAAATTGTTCTTTTCAAACGACATTTGACAGATGGAGGGCATTGGCTTTCCTATTCTTATTTGAATCACATTTATACTTGCTTGTATATAATTTTGCACGTAAACTTCTTACGTGTGCGTGTGGGTTAGTAAGGCGGGTCATTAGTCATATTTATCGCTAAAATGAGGAAAAAAATTGTTTTCCATTTTCTTCTATTTGCCCCCTCAGTATTTTATGAATGATCAAAACATATTACAGATAACCCGTTTTTCTGATATCCGGATGGCTGGCCAATCACTCGCTCACCCGTAATGTAGGTAAGTATTTAGTTTGCAATTACAGCAATGTTAATAGGCCAATAATTACATCCTATTTCCGTCCTCAAACCATACAAACTTTTTCCTGTAGCTATTAAGGAACCAAAGATAAGAATTACAGTTTTACGTTGGAATGGTAGAAATCCTGATTTCATCAAGTTTTCATAATTTTTATGGTCATTTATGACGTATTCTTATAGAATGTGAAAAAGTATTTTAGTCTGGCCGCATATTATAGGATTTTTTGTTTGAAAATTTCTGACGCTCAGCGGTGCCACCCCGCACACCAATCATTAAATTCGCTCCGCAGCAAGTACGAAAGGTAGAACACAGAAAAAGAAAAGGGAAATGAAAAAATAATTGGACCGGTAAGGTTGTTCGGTAGATTGTTTTAAACTTTCATGGTCACTAACATTATAATAATATAAGTTATTTACGGGATTGTTACCATGTACCTTGTTTTTAGCGAGTTTCCGATATTTCGGCACTGTTGCAAGCGCCATGATCACGGAGTAACTGTAAATATCGGAAACTCGCTAAAAACAAGGTACATGGTAACAATCCCGTAAATAACTTATATTACTATAATGTTCGGTAGATATTTTACATGACAATCTGCTGACTCAGCTATTTTCTAAATCGATCTAGGTATTATCAAGCTAAAAATCAGGTGTCATCCAATGATATTAAGGTAGGTAGGTATTTAATATCGTTGGTGTCATCACAAAAAATATATAACCGGCGAAGCATATCATTAAATTATTCAGAGCGATTATAAAATCATCCGTGGTAGAGTTGCCTGAATTTAGAAACAGATGTACTTACCTACCTACTTTTGACCATCTGTTCTGCTATTGATTGTTTAGTTATAAATAGAACATAATAAAATTGTTCTATTTGGGACACGTGTAAAGGTATTACATATTTCGACGATCATGCAAAACATTTCAGTTAAAAGGGGTAAAAGATACTATGCGATTTGTGCTTGTTTTTATTGAGGTAGGTAATGATGTTAAGTGGTAGTAAATGCGCGAAGGTACCTGGTGCAACAGTTATGAATTGTCACACCAACCATCTTCACCTTGCCGGCCTGCACCAATGCTTCTTCACGTCGCTTTTAAAGAACTCCAGAGTATAGGAAGAAGGGACCACGTGCGCGGGCAAAAAATTCAATTTGCGGATAGTACCTACGACAAAAATATGAGTCACCGAATCTCTGTTTATTTTAGAATCATTGCCACAATAAGCCTTTGGCAACGTAGACCAGCGCGTGTGGACCTCTGAAGGAAAGGGGAAGCTGGAATGAGGGAGAATAATTCGTCAAAAACTCACCGTGGTAGAGTCAATAGAATGCGCGTAATGATGCTACATCACGGCGCAATGTAAGACTCGAGGATTCCCTTATTGATGTCTAACATCTTTCCTCTCGTTTTCCTTCAATTTGTGGGATTGATTTCGTGAAATGGGACGGAAGTGTGTAACAGGAAGTCGCGAAAGCGCGCGCGCTATTTGATTTGATTTTAGAACATACCTAATGTTCAAATGGCTCATTTATTCCTTTTATAGTAGGCTTTATTTTTTTTTACTAATATACGGTGAGGTTTCAAATGTTACACATCATACGCGACTACTGTAAAGCTCGCTCTTTTTTTTTTTAAATGAAGGAGTGTTATTAATTATTTATGTAAGATCTAAGTAAGTAGGTACTCACCAACCCAAGTCTTATTGCCTGAAAATACATAGGTAATTAAAGCTTCTTTTTATACATACTTCTATTCATAATTACTTCTATATTTTTTTCTTAGCCGCTGAAAGAGCTTACCGCCGCCGCGCCCTGCCGCGTTGCCGCCGTAGCGTCAATGGAAATCGTACAATAAACGGATTAATACAGTTGCAACAACACATCTGCAATCGAGTAAGTGGGAATTAATGGTTTGTTAAATGAACTGCCTTGCCTTGTGGTACGCAAGACGGCGGAAAACGAAAACTTGAGCCATGAAAAACGGTTACTACAGCCTACGACCAGATAAATTAATTCAAACCGTAAACTATTTCGTTATCTTTGGAAAGCAAGTAACTACATTCGGTATAAATTTTATTAATAATAAAACCAACTTACCTGTAAGTGAAGTGGCTGGACACAACTGATATCCCTCCCTAATAGTATTTCCAATCTGGGGAAGTAACCTTCAACTTACAGAGGACCGCAGTGGAACTACTTAGCACTTTTTGGTGGTGTGTTTCTGTTGGTGTACCGTACGATTTCTAGACATCCACAGGTGCTGGTATCACTTGCAATTATTGGTCCATGCTTGGGCATCTACATGAGTTACGAGTATGATGGCCGCTTTTGGCTTTTTCTACCATCTGGCGACCTATGCTAGTTTGCTTCACCTACTACATAAAAAATACTAAAATTTGCAAATACTGTAATTTAATGTTAGTTGCATGTTGTGGTTAAGCAAGTAGGTACTTTCACTAGGTCAGGAATAGCAAGCTTGTCCACTAAATACAAGGGAGAGTGCTGCTACATGATATGGGGCTTGCGAGCGCGCGGTGTCCGTTACATTGTTTACGGATTTACTGTGAAATCAACTGCTTTAAATAGGTCAACTGGAGAGTGTCTAAAGTTTCATTTATTATGTAGATTTTCCTAATAAGAAAGAATATCTTTGTTCTGTAATACAGAACATATTCATTCATATTCTTTCTCTCGTTCATTGCCGTCTAATTTTTGGATAGAAATATTGACCTGTTTTGTTCCCGGTCTCGAATTATAAATATTAAACTTTCAGTGGTGGAAAATGTTTGTAAATGATAGTAAAAAATGCATCAAAATCCTGTTCGTGGTTTGAGTTTAAGTAGTTAGTATAATGAAACAAGTTTCAACGGTATAGATGCACTGATTTATTTATTTATTGACGTTTCGTGTCCTTTTCAGGATACGTCGTCTGAATTATGTTTTTAGTTTTAAAAATAAAATATCAATAAATAAATCAGTGCATCTATACCGTTAAAACTTGTTTTATTTAATGAGTGGTGTGCGTGCAAACCTAAGAAACAAATATTTTAATTTCAAGTTCTTATTATTTTAAGCTCCAGACGGAGAGGAGACTCCCCCCGAGTGGAGATGCCATCTACTTGGAATACCACTTTAGAGGCACAAATTCTCGGCTTGAGGTCCCTTTAGGATCTCGCCGTCCCCGAACCCAGTGACTCTGTAAATGTCATCTGCGACAAATAGCATACACACTCAAAACAATATAGTTTACAAATAAATATAAATGGATTTAACATTAATTTTAATCATATTTATTTTGAGAATAAAACTAAAGCACTTTTCAAACTTAATATCATTTTAAGTGCCATTCTGGCTCCGCACACTTTGAACGAATCCACATCCGTAAAAGCTCGGTGCGGATGTCTGAATTATTATGAATATTCTCCATTTACGGATGTGAATATTCGTAACACCTCTGGTATATATATATATATATATATATATATTTTAATCTTTTGTTTGATTAGTCCTAATTATATTTTTTAAAAATACCTCTACGACTATACGTTTAACTAAGCTTTTTAAGTTATTTAGGTACTTGTCAGTTTATATTAAATCATGGCATGCAGTTAACCATGATAAAACATAATATAATATACATAGGTATGCACCCATTACGTAGTGTTAAAAGTTTAATTTTAGTTTGTTTTAGTGTCCTGCAAAATAATTGGTTAGTAACCCGACCACATTCAAATAAAACTTCACAGAATTTGATAGTGGCTCTCAATTTGTCTAGAAAAGAAATAAAAATGTATCGTCAACAAATAAAGTTAAAAATGAATTTAACAATGTGAGCAAAATGTAAAAAGCTTACTTTCTGGTTACACAACGATTTGATTTCAAAGCTATTATATTATTACTGTTAGTTTTGAAACATTAAATTAGCCAGATACCTGTAGGAAGCAATTTAATTTGCATTATCTATCCACAATGAAAATTTATGAATGAGGTGATTTTGTTTAACGCAATATATTGTGGTGATATAACTTTGTTCAGGTCTGAGTGGCTCAGTTGAATGTTTTGCGACATAAATAAACTTTTGCGTTGTTATTTTTTGTGTAGGTAATTAGAAGAATGACAGGCACAGGCAGAAATTTAATTATATAACGGGGTAAGTTTAAACTATAAGGCTCATTAAAGATAAGGGACGTAAATAATCTGAATTAAAATGGATTGCTCGGCGGCGCCGGCGGTTTGTTGCGCACGCGCTTCTGGTAGTTCAATAAAAGCGCGCGGAGGGCGCCGCGCCGCACAGTGCCTTTCTCACTGTCAACGACACAGTGCACCAATCATGTGGAGAAAGGTAATCACCAAAATTATTTTTAATAATATTTGTGATTTTTTTAATGAATTTTATTTTTGTTAAAAAGTTGACTCAAGTATTTTCAATTTTAATATTTCTATGTGTGGCATTATTATTAATAAAAAAATAAAAAGTTATATTCGTTATGGTTACTTAAACAAAGAATAATAATAACTTCCTTTACTTTTTAATAAGTTTTTGTTCTGAACCGTGATATTAAAGCTATTTGATCTAAAAATATAATGCATTTTCTTGTTGTTACAGGCGTTAAGTGCTGCGGTTTGTTGGCTTACGTTAAGTGTTAATTTTGGAGAAGCAGAAAAGAATGTGATAAGTTCAATGATAGTTGACAATGATAGTGCTGAAAGTGCCCCGCGGCTGTACCGGAGTGTGCCAGTCGGCGTGTATGCGAGCAGGTCTCCCTATGCTGCGTACTCCTTCCAAATACCGGCATTTATATCAGCGCCAAAAACTTCTGCATCTAGAATTGTACCAGTGAGACAACAGATAAATGCCTTTCATCAAAATAATGGATATTTACGGGACTCATATGGGAACAGATTTTCGGATACCCCGCAGATAGCTTCGTACAAAACGGCTTTTCCACAACAATATGTGCCACTCCAAGAACTTCCAGCACATCTTGCCCAGCCTCTGTTAGCAGCATCGCAAAACAAAGAAACGGCGCCTCATTACTTTGTGGGATCACAATATAGGGTGCCTAGTTTTCAAGAAGCATCAAATAACCCTGGCTCTGGTTATAGCAGTTTCCCACAATCATATGCTTATTCACAAGAGATTAGAAGTTTGGCGCCGTCAGCTCAACAATCTAATGGAGTAACAACAAATCAACAGCAACCCGGTAACAAACTTTTCACCAATGTTCAAGCTGTGGAACAATTTAAAGAACTGAAGAATGAACCTAAATTAGAACGTTTTGAATACAGGCCAGAAGAGGCTTACAGAAGCGAGGAAAAAAGTGATCCAACCGTACAAAAGGCTAACATTCAAGAATCTGATAAGGGGGAAAATGAAGCAGCTGCTGCTATAACACCTGTGACAGCTATTGTCAACGGAAAGAAAACGGTTATTAACATTGAAACAAAACCTCCTATTCCCTTGTTGGATCTCAGTCTTTTAGAGCCTATTACGTTCGATAATCCTATTGTGCCACAATTACAACATTTCTTACCACGTATACATGATGCTAAATATCAATCATTACCTGAATTTAATGAAGCCAAGAAACCGAAAAAAGCAAAGAGTGCCTCAAAAAAGAAACCAAAACAGCAATCATCTCATCATCATAAACAGGCTCCTGTCACACCAGTTGTGACGATTACAGGGACTGAAGATGAAAGCCCGGAGCTTACATATGAGATAAATACCCCTAATCACAAGGAAACATATAAAGAAAAAACCATAAGTTATAATAGAAAAGTTGAAGCAGAACCAGAAACGTTTAGTTACAATGAGAAAACCGAAGCTAAACCAGTGCATTACAGCTACCATAATTCTGAGCAGAAAGAACCAGTGAGTTATAATATAGTTTACAGTTCTAACAAAAAACCAGAACAACTCACGCAAGTCAACCATCCAGCAAATGAAGAGCAACCTCGACAACTTATATATAAATTTAACGCTGATGAAGCCGTAGAACCGAATAATGATGAGGAATCCGACACACCGGGATCAGCGGAAGATTCTGGCTCTTCTGAAGTAAATGTAGAAAATGAGCCCATTCGCCATCTTAATCATCACAATCAAGAAAGACGTCCTGAAGCTCCAGTAAATTATCAACATCACAACGACGGTCATAATAATAATCATCATAATACCCGTCCTCAAGATCGGCACCACAGTGGTCACCATAACAACGATAATCATCGTAATGATCGCCATCACGACGATCGCCATCACGACGATCGCCATCACGATGATCGACGTCACAATGACCACCATCACGAAGATCGCCATCATGATGATCGCCATCACGATGATCGCCATCGTGATGATCGCCATCAAAATGATCGCCATCAAGATGATCGCCATCATGATAATCGCCATCATGATGATCGTAATCACGATGATCGTCGTCATGATGATCTTTCTCACAATAATCATCATCATAATAACCATCCACACAATAACCGTCCACATAACGAGCATGATCATAGAAACGATGATAGGCCGGAACATAGGCAAAAACAATATTACCAGAAAGCTCCTGAGGGACATGACTCACCAAATAAACAATATCGCTCACAGGAAGAAGACCATCATAAAACTAGTCAAGAATATCATCCCAACTCAAATCCAGGACATCAACACAGAGAACATAACCAGAATAAAAAATATAATCAACAACCAAATGATGATAGTCATCACAGACAGAATAAAGAATATAAAAAACCAAGCCCCGAAAATCACCAAAGATCGAATCAAGAATACCAACGCAGACCATACGATCAAGGCAGCCATGAAGTAGATCAACCGAGGGAACACGAGAAACCAGCACCTATCAGTGCTCCTATTCAGCATAGTGAAATCTTGACCCATCCCCAAGAACACGAAGAGGATATTCGTCTATTACCTCCGCAGCATAACGCTCCCATAAGGGTAGACCCAAATCAACACGTACAAGAGCCAAAGCCTGAACCAGAAAGTCAAGAAGAAGCGGAACCATTGTATAACTCTGGTGCTCCTATAATTCAGGAACAAGGCAAACGTATTATAATACAAGAAGAAAGTCCCGAAGAATTACACATGCATCAAGAACAAATTACAGCTGAAGTGGTCGACCAAGAAGACAATAACGAAGATGATTTTGAGAACGCATATAAAAATGCAGCATATGGCTTCCCAGCTTTTGAAAAAAAAGCAGAAAATATTGAAAAGGACATATATGATCCAAAATCTTACGGCCTTAGTCGCATAAACGATGAGTACAATTCTGAGAAGTCCCCCTTCCAACAATACGTAGCGGAAGGTGATACTTTCCCAAGATCTGCTCGTTTGAATTACAATAAAGCCAAAGAGGATACCGAGGAAACGTATCTCTTAGATTATTCCGCAAGTAAACCACAAAGTGTTGCTGATCGTTACAGAAACAAAGCTAATTACTATAAACTCTACGAACAATATAAACCAGAGAAATATTTTGCAGCCAACAACGATAACAAGAAAGAAAAGCAACGGGAAAGATACACAGCTGCTCCATCGTATAATTTCGAACGCAATCCCAAACCTAAGAATAATGGATATTTTGCTCAGTACAAAGCTGAACCCGTTAAATACGAATATGATTACTCTAAAGGAACGCCTCGCGACAACTCCGCTCATGCTTCAAATCCGTACAAAAGGCTTAAAAGTAAAACTTTATTCGTAGAACCGCAATTCCAATACGGGTTCGATCCGATTAACCTGCCGCGATTGCTCGATAGCGAACTAGCTGCGATGGCAAGTAATCATAGTCCCGAAAGTGAAAAGCCCGGTATGAGAAAGAAAATTTATGAGGAAAATTGGTATATTAAAAAAACAAGTACAGCCGCCGGCAAACCTAGCTGATAGTATATTTATTTTATAAATTAGTTGATAAGTTTTTATAGTCTTTTGATACTAAATAAAATTTATAAAAAATAATGAATGTTTCATTTGATACCTATGACATTACACTAATTCTTGTTACCTATGGTCTTTAATATTTTTAAGTATAAAAACAGCACCAACCTACTGCTCCAGTACAGCTTCTTGCGCAATTTGACTTTCGCTAACAGCCAATACATTACGTGACGCTAGCTTTTATTGTGATCATTTTGGTAATCTCAGAAAAAAGTACGTAGTCTCTTTTGCTATTAACAAAGTCAGCCACCGTACCGTAGAGCAGACAAAAAGTAGTATTCTGATTGGTTATGGTTGTTGTTGTAACTGATGCACAAGTGCCGCCCGCCATCTTCGCCTGCTGCTAACTCTATTCATAAAATAACTAACCATACTATTGTGTTGAATCAATTAAAGGCCTCTGTTGTTGACGAATTTGTAAAATAATAGGAACATTTTTGCATTGCCATCGAGATAACATTGTTTGGACAAATAATAGACTTCTGATGAAATAATGATATTCTTGACATAATATGCATTTATATTTAAAACATAAATTTTGTTGGCATTTTAGAAGCTCACAGTTTATCGCTTTTATATTCTGAGAAACAAATATTATTAGCTCATTGAAGAGCTTGATGGAATTTCAATACAATAAAATTTTTGCAATGGTAAAACACCGCCAATGCGCAATCCGATCCAGTACCTAGCCCACTGTTGATTTAAGCAAACACCAAATTATTGAATTCTCAACGCTATGACAAGTTGCAGAAGCTGTGAGGAAAGACATCTAGCAAGGTTACTATCGGCTCCGGCACATTTCGCGGTTTTCAGCAATTTTACAATTGCTAAAGTACTGCTATGAATAATCAATTGGATAACGCGATTTAAAAAGCTTCGTTGACTTACATTTTCGGAGGTCATTGAAAATGGGATAGGAAGTTTAAGAGAAAAAAAGGTTAAAAAGCCAAACTTATTAAAATATGGAGAATGTGGTCGCGCCTTACAGACAAAAACTCGCCAAGTGCGTGTAGTGTCACGAGCAGTGTGGGGTCCCGTAGTTGCCCGTTGTTACCATAATAAATATATTTCAGAAGGAGTCCTCTAATTTGCAAATTTGCTAGTTCTCCATTCAACTAAAACTATATTGAACCCTTAGAAAAATGTCAAAACGTCAATGTAATTTCGACACTATCGTATGGGCTAAATCTTGATTTAGTTAAATTAAGGTTTAGCTAAACTGCTGCAAGTGGACCTTAATTTTTGTTTTTAATGCAAGGTTTTACGCGTTATGCGTTATAAACAAGCAATTACTTCATCTGAGGCCCACTTGTATGAATTTTGTAACATCTGAATGTGGACCGAGGAGAAGCCGAGGCACACAAACGTAAGTCCTTTAATGCCTAGTTGTGGCCAAGGCTTGTACAGTAATTTTCTCAAAAAATGAGTGGAAATTAAAAATAAATAATTACTTTTCAAAATCAATGACGAACAACAATATTTATTTCGCGTAATTTCAGTTGCCACGTCTCGGAGTCAAAATATGTTCCATTTTTAAATTACACGACAGATATGAGTTTACTATTTATATAAATAATTTATTTAGCCGCTAAACACAATAGATATGGATTTTCATACAACTTTTGCCTACCGCTGCTCGCATGTTTGTATTCGGCCGTTAAAGCAATTTCGATTTATCTCGAAGAAGGTTGTCAAATAATGCTCACATTTCCAAGCATGTTTGAAAAAATAAACATTTATTCTGGTCTTAAAAATCCATAGACAAGTGTTAGTGACAAACAGATGTGTATCTTATGCATGGAAGAAAAAAAGTGCGGGAAACGTTCAACTTGTTAGACGCGTTTTTTGGTGAAAAATTTTATTTATTAATTTTGTCGATCAGAAGGGTACATTTTGTTTATTTTTGTAATTAATAATTTTTATTTAGTAAGTGTATAAAATTCCTGTATTGGTAAGAACTTCATTTTAATAATTTGATGCATCCAACTCCAATAGGTCACTAAAGCGGAGCCGCCGGCGCCGTCCGAATATTATTTGTAAACACTGTAACAAAAACAAATGCTTGTCTATGTACAGCTGAAACAGATTTTATTCCTCCACCAGTTCCATTACCCATGCCAGAGCCTTTAAGCCCCACTTCTAATGTAACAAATAATAAGAATTTACCTTTATCTACCCCAATTGGCCGGAAAACTACTGTGAGACTGATGCAGCTCCTTTTATTTTTCATGTCCAAAAAATATTAACATCTGATGATAAATTCACTATTCACTATTTAAGTTTGGCAATTAAAAAAAAAATATTCCCAAATATTGTTAAAAAAAACGGGAAAACCTATTAATGCTGCCAAATATCACCAATTTACACCAAAATTTGGATTTGGGTTCTACTTACCCCCTTCTTCAAAGTTGTTAATGCACCGAGGGTTGCTATTTCCCTGGGGGTGTTTTTTTTTATTGTGAGAGGTAGGCAGATCCCTGTTTCCCAGTGGGCACTTTGGGTAAGTGCCCAGGACCCTGCAATCGATAGGGGCCCCACTCAGATCAAATACAAAGTCCCTAGTACCTGTTAAATCACCAAATGAGGGCCCCATTATCCTTATATGCCCAGGGCCTCCAATAGGTCAAAGACGGCACTGGAGGTCCCTACCCCGATTCCTGGGGAAGTAATCTCCACCTTACAGAAGATCACAGTAATAACACTACCTTTTGGTGGAGTTGTTTTGTCGGTGATCGAGTTCCAGGGCTCTATGGGGTAGGGAATTAGGTAAGGGTAGGCATAGGGCCGTCTTTAACCTATTGGAGGCCCTGGGCATATTAGGATAATGGGGCCCCTATAACTTTGATGTGGGTTATGATTTGAAATGGAGCGAATTAAATAAAAGCTAGTAAGTTTGTATTGTAGTCAGTAATTTAGGTTCGATTTCATCCAAATTATATAAGTTTGGTAATAAATATTGGTTATCGTTTGGTGATCTGACAGGAACTAGGGAACTTTGTATTTGATCTGAGGGGGACCCTCTCGATCGCGGGGCCCTGGGCACTTGTCCAAAGTACCCACTGGGAAAGACGGGTCTCGGTAGGCAATGGTGCGAGTGATTTTTTTGGTATCGCAAGCGTCTATAGGATAATGGTGGCTGCTTACCAGCAGGCGGGCCATACGCTTGTTTGCCACCCTTTTAACATGACTTCTAAGAAACTTTTTTTCTTAATACGTATTTTATGCGACTGTCATATTGAAGGGGTATTAAAACACGAAGCTCTGTTCCTCTTATCTTGTTTATATGTATAAAATCATATATAAATTGAGTGGATGTAAATGATTAATTTATTAAAAAATACTAGGAAAAATCCCACGCGGTCCAGGCAGCACGCGGGACTCGAACTCGCACTAATTGATAAAAAAATTGCAGTAAAATTTCCTAAGATTTAAACATCTAGCATGATGCGGGTTCGAGTCCCGTCTGCTGCTTGGTCCGCGTGGATTTTTTTCTAGTAAAATTTTCTTTAGATTTACACAAATAAATATAATTCTAATAGTACCTACTATTGTTATTATATTGTAGGTTTGGGTCGGATTACGGGTTCCCAGTGAAATGAGATTGTTCATTAAATTACATGAATTCCTTCAACTTGTTCGCTACCAGGCTTACTACTAGGCTTCGATTTGGATTGATTTGGTTTGAAAAATTAGATTCCTTTCACACTAGGCTTGGAGGGAAATAAAAACAAGCAGGCACCAGCTGCCATTTTATCACTCGTGGATCATCTGTTTCTTAATCATTCATCATCAGCCTATTAATGTCCCTACTGCCGGGGCACAGGCCTTCCTCATGGCTTTTAGAGTGAGCCCTAACCTAACACGCGGGCCCAGTGCGAAATGGTGGTGCTTTCGACAACAGATGCAGCCGGGACCAACGACTTAACGTGCCTCCCAAATCACGGAGGAGCTCGAGATAATAAGTTTTAGGACACCCATCCAATGACCGACCATTGCGAGTTGCTTAACTTCAACGATCGCTGGCTTAACATGCTAGCTAACCGCTTGCGCTATCGAGTTCCTCGTCAGTTATATCATAAATTAATGAAATAATCACGTTGCCATGCCTTTGAAATATACACAATGAGAATTTAAGTATTATCTTTGACAGAAGAACATTACCGTGGAAGAACTTAAAAAAACCGGTCAAGTGCGAGTCGGACTCGCCCAATAGAGGGTTCCGTAGCAGCAAGTAACATAATATAAAAGTTCTTGTAAGTAGTTCGTTGTAACTTTGATCGATGTTTTAATAATAGTGTATTTCTACGATTTATGACGTTTAAAAAAACTACTTACTAGATCTCGTTCAAACCAATTTTCGGTTGAAGGTAATGTACATCATATATTTTTTTTAGATTTATCAACCTGTTATTTTAGAAGTTACGGGGGTGGGGGTGGGAGGGGGGGGGGGGGTACACATAGATTTCACAGAAAGCGGTTCACAGAATACATCTTCTTACCAAGTTTCAAGACTATAGTTCTTATAGTTTCGGAAAAAAGTGGCTGTGACATACGGACGGACAGACAGACAGACATGACGCATCCACAAGGGTTCCGTTTTTGCCATTTGGCTACGGAACCCTAAAAAGGTCATATTTCGGTTATAAATTGCGATCCCAGTGATCACCTCCTAGCTATAATAAAATCTCAATTATTTGAATCATCATTAAACGCACTTTCTGTAAGTATAACCTTGATAGTAGTATAGTATATAGTAGTTGTCACTTTTATACTTTTTGAGATCAAATTAGTTCCAAGTAAGCAAGCAGCTCGGTTTATTTGCCGTCGAGTGTATTTTTCTAATTTAAGTATATTTAGTCATAAATCAAAGGGATGGCTAAAAATGAATACAACAATTAGAATTTAATGCTTTCCTTCTGACTAGCATATTTATTATATTTTCAAAGACTTAGGTAGTTAAAATTAAAAATAATATGAGGAATAAGTCCCATTTTCGGCCGAATGAACTAACTTGTTGCACTTAAAAAATAAATGCCTTTAGTTCTTCCTAATTGTTATGTAATAAAACTAATAAAACAGTGTTAACTTAAAAAGAGGTATCAACTTTTTTTTCTTGACATAAGAATAATCAGTTTAAGAATAAGAGAGAGTGCTATTATAAAACATAAATAACTTATGCTCTAAAAATGCGTTAAGGACATTGTTCTGAATTACTGTAGTAAATTTTGTTATCTTTTACTATCTTTCTTTTCTAATTTGCTCTGTATCGACTTCTGTTGCATTTCTTCTTCGGAGAAGCCGTACTGTCATCAATAATGTTGACAATCCGAATACCAACGCTATTCCAGACAATATTAAGGCAGCTGTGGATAAGGGCCTTTCAGTGTCGAATAAATCTGACTTCAAAGCAACAGGCCGTAGTATTTTTACCACCGGTTCACATCCAGATTCTCTAACATACTTTGCCCACGTTCTATTGGCAAACGTCAGCCCTCTAGGCTTCATGAATGGCCTTCTGCCGGGCACTGTTTTATTTAAAGGAATTGTAAGATTTCGTAGCTGGGTTTCATTGTAATGACAGTATAAATGTTTTTTCTTTTTGTTTCCTTTTACTACTATGTCTTTCTCAGCACTTTTTGCTCCTATAAGAACGTCTAAATTACCCTTGATCATGTTCGCCCAATCCCACATTTCGGCAATCTTACAATCACATATAAATGGATTACCAACTAAATTTAAAGAATGCAGCTTTGGATTGTTAATAAAGACCTGGGGGTCGATCGTTGTAAGGTTATTGTTACTCAAATTTATTTTTTCCAGTTGGTGTAATCTTTCCAAAAATTGTAAACTGTCTTCTTTAGATATGAGGCGATTACTTCCCAGATTCAAGTCCGTGATATTTTCTGTATTTTTGAAGGCGTCTCGATTGAGCGAAGTAATGTTGCAATTACTTAAATCCATAATAGTAATTTGAGACAGTTGTTTTGGAAACAGAGGTCCCGTAGTAGGGATAACTAATGGGTTTCCGCCCAATCGTATTTCCCTTAAATCCATGTATGTTAGATTCTTAAAGAAAGCATTTGCATACAAAGGCCTTTTTAAACCACAGAATTCTAATTCTAAAGTAGTTAGTTGAGTCAAATTGCCGAAGAGACCAGCTTCAAGGGATAAAAGGTCATTGCCTGATAAGACAAGTCTCTTCATTGATGTCATTTTAGAGAACGAATCAGGCCCTATATACGACAGATTACTATATCCCATATTAAGGTACTCCAGTTTATTAAGTGGAGCCAATAACTTTGTAAAAACGTTTACTAATGGATTGTATGATATATCCAGTTCTTGAAGATTATCAAATACATTGAAATTATCTGGAAGGTTTCGTAAGCCGCAGTTACTCAAAAACAGTTTTTCTAGCTTTGGTAATGGCTCTAATGCTTCCTTTAAGTCGGGGGCAAATAATGGATTACCAGAAAGATAAAGGGTCCTTAACCTCGTAGCGTTTGCGAAGGCATCTCCAGCAATAGGTCCACGAATTTTGCAATTAGATAAGTCTAACAATTCCAAATGATCGACACTGCTACCTAATGTAGCCGCAACATCTAAGTCACGCAATTGATTGTCTGCCAAAATAAGCGACACTAAATTAGTACAATTTGAAAATGTATCTTCGGATAATGAAGTAATGCCGGTTTTCCTTAGATTGAGATATTCCAGTCTGATCAGCTTTCCTAAAAGTTCTGGCCAGTCCATATTTGTCAACTGGTTTCCTGCCAGTTCCAAGAATTTTAGGTTAACCAATGCTGTAAATATGTTTTCTGCTAAACTTGTGAGTTTACAGTCATTCAGTTTCAACGTTTCTAGACTGGTTAAAATATCAAAAGTCCCACTCTCTAAAGTTACCAGAGGGTTGTTAGATAGATCAACCGTTGTGAGGGATGTGATATTATCGAAGAACTGTGGGTTGATGGAGGATAGGTTGCAGTTGCTTATATCCAGGAATTGAAGAGTGCTAGAGACCAAAAACGGCCCGTCAACGACACTGATGGGGTTATCTTGTAACTCGACGTTAAGTAGTCCTCTGGAATCCCTGAAATGAGGAAATCTTCATTAAAATTCATTCACAACACAGTTTTGTATTACTTGTTGTAGTCGCGTAACTACTGCATTATTTTTTTAAATATATCATATTGCAGAACGTAATAATACTCAGGCTTAGCATTTTAATAATTGCCTTTGAAATAATATTTTCTACGTCAAAATAGTGTATTGTAAAGTAAAGGGTAATCTAGGCAGCAATTTGCATTCGTTGTGTGGCCATTATCTAATATTGGCATAACGTGTTAACGTCAATTTGTAGGAGTTCTGGTCACCGCATCAAGTTCAATTGGTACAATTTTGCCATCAGTATTGTGTGGTCAGGAATGAATGTCATAGTTGTCAGCCTAACAATGGGCGGCCGTGGGAGAGTACCTACCACATACCTACCTAGCGCCGAGTAAACAATGACTAATGTTTTTATAATAATGCTCATAGACATTTTTGTTATTTATCAGTAGTTAGTATGCTACTGTGATCAAAATATTATTTTGAAGTCCAGGTGTTTTGTTAAACCACGTTTTTTCAAAATTTTGTTAAAAAAAAGTTTGATCAGGTTGTTGCTGGAAGCATAGTTTCGAGCAAAATCCTCGTTGCCAGAAACTTAATATAATAATAAAATGTATATTGTGTTAGTGTATTGTCAATAGAAGTATATTTAAATCTAAAAACAATTTTAATAGAAAAATTGCCTGGTCCGCGTGGAATTTTTTCTAGTAAAATTTTCTTTGGATTTGAACATCTAGCAGTTAAATGTTTAAAAAATAAAAATAATACGAACAATATATATTTTTCTCAAAAAAAAACAACGGTTTTTTATTATTTTTAACAGTTTTTAGGTCTTACATTTTATCCACATCATTTTCAGTAATCTTTTACTTTTCTACAGTTGTTAGAGTTCGTTATCTTTTGAAGCTAGTGCGAAATTGTGTTCTTATATTTAATTTCATCTAAGCCATGACTAACTCAGAGGCGCCAATTAAATTTATTGCTTCATTAAGTTTATGTGTTATGCTATTCTTTTGCTAACAAACACAGAACGTGATCCGAGTCAAACTTTATAGTCGATTGACGTGAATTTGCTGAAGCTAAGTAAATAAAGCTGTCGTCTTCCAGCGTAACTGTTGTTTAGTTTTATTCGATGTGTCGACGATCGGCGACGATTGTAATCAGCCCTGTCCATCGTAATCGCAAAACAATGTCAACGAGTCAGGTATCTTGCAATGCATCTATCTCGGTGCAACATCGAGTCGCGCCTGATTAGCCAATTCAACCACGGACCAACCGAGCCATCGTAACTATAACAAGCTTGGTATTTAAAACTTATTTTCAATGTCGCGGCGTTTTCACCACTTTTTTGGGTTCCCGTGGACAATTCGCACACTTTTTTCGATACAACGAAATAATTAAGTTCGCTTTCTACCCTCATTTACTCAGCCATTGTGTTGGTGATGTTGTAATTCAAAATCTCGTTAGATTGAAGAAAAAGCCATTAAATTTGTCGATTAATTTTGTTTGATCTATCTGCTATATCCGGCGGCATCCGCATTGAGATCGCGTCATCGGAACTTAGTAAAAAACCCGCCAAGTTCGTGTCGTGCCGCTAGCAATGTAGTGTTCCGTAGTTGCCCATTGTAATAAGAAGAGGGTATTTTGATTATATACTGCAAAGTTTGGTGTCGTAAGATAGGTCTCTTAAGTATATTATGGGGTTATGAGCTTATTGCCCTAAGAGTCTCATAGCTTAGCTGCGGACAGACGGACGGGTATGACGAAACTATAATATTCCTTGTTCAGTACGGAACTCTAAAAATGTAATTTGTGTCCACATTGACTAGGAAAGCACTAGTTGCTTATTTAAAATATACTCTACGTATCAGGAAGTCGATTTATAGAGCTAAGGATAGGGCCGGATTGAGAGGTGTGGAGGCTCTGAGGCAACTCCCCCTTTTGGTGGGTGACCCGTCGAAAATTGGTTTATTTCTATTGTGGAGGGCCCTCTCTTTTGGAAGCTCCAGGGCCACAATCCCGCCTGTCCATCCAGCTAACCCAGTCCTGGTTAGGAACTTAGAGCTTTCTAAATTTGCATCTCTATTATAATACAAACACAACTATTAGAAGAAGAAGAAAGAAAAATGCTATTAGAGTTTAGTAAAACTGTTAATTGACAGCGTATTATCAGAGGTCAGACGAGCGAACCGTTTTCTATTATCACTAGCTCGGTACAACTATATGAAGACATCCCAGCTCGTACGTTCTTATACATAAAATTGATATTCCACCCACTCTACCGAATGACCAATAAACTAGGTACAGAGTTTACCTAATTCACCTAAGTGCATTAAAGTACTCGTATACATAAACTTCATTTGTTCCCCTGTTTTTCCCTAGGTGCGTCTGAGAGCTATTACAGCTTAAATTAAGAGTACATACTTTATAAACGTATCTCTTTAAACAAAAGTAGGTACATACACACCTATTAAAATGACAACTTTTCAAAATTTACACTGCATAATTTAAATCATGATGAAAATATGATAAAAAAAAAAGAATTAAAATGATTCCAGATGCCCAGTCATGTCCAATGGGCATGTTCGAAACGCGATCTGCTTTTTTAAAAGCTTTGTTCGGGTAGAATCTTAGATTAAAACAATCTTGCAACTCATTTTTGAAGCAAATGTCTTCATTCGATTGAGCTAAAATGTTGTACATATATTTAGGATGACAATGCATGATGAGCTGTGTGACGTCATTCTAAATCCAATATGGCGGAACATACAAGATGGCGGTGTAGTTATTTTTTATACTTTCCTACAATATGAGTATCAAATGGAAGGACTTGATGAGAATAACTCAAAAAAGAAAGTGACGTCACCTTAAATCCAATATCGCGGACTTTTAAAAGATTGCGGCCTAAGTTTTTTTTAGGGTTTCTTACAATATGGGTACCAAATGTAAAGACTAGCTGAGAATATGGGGGTTTTGAAGTTCTCGATTATGTCATCGATAACTAAAAAGTAAAAAATAAATTAAAATTATTATTTTTTAAGAACAAGCTTTTATTTAAATGCGCTCTAAAGTTCCTTTTAAACTTTTACTATGAATTTATAACGTCATCACACAATTTATATGGTATAAAAGCTTGTTGATACTGGATATGCATTCGCCCGGATAGCGAAGGGTGCGGGTACGAGTGAACGAGTCCCGTCTGCTGCCTGGTACACGTAGATTTTTTTCTTGTAAAATTTTCTTTAGTTACTGGTGGTTATAAGAAAATTTAAAAACAATCAAATCAATCCGATCAAATTTTGTTTACCTATACAGGTAAATCTCGCGACAAGCTTATATATTATATAAATTGTGTAATGATGTTAAGTTAAGTTTTTTAAGTTCATAGTAAAAGTTTTAAAGGGAAATTTTATTTTCTTCCTTTTAGCGCATTTAAATTTTTATTTCAAGTTACGGCGGGAGCAAGCTTAGGCTTGTTTGAAAGAAAAGTTATTTACATTTTTAAAAAATATTGTTTATTATTTATCTTAACTATTCTTAACTAATACAAAAAAGAGGTAAGACGCCGTAACTTGAGAACGATTTTACTTTTAAAAGTTTATTTTTACATGGTTCGTATGGAAAAAAAGTCTCAAAGAAAAAAGGTGCTCAAAGAATTAGGAAAAAGAAAACATCACTTATAAGTTATAACTGTACCCGATTTGACTTGGGCTTCGATTATATAAATGTTAACTGGGCAGGACACTTCTAAGGCAGGACGTCTGTCGGAACTCTAGTATGTTTTTTAATAAAATATGGGCTGAATACTGAATTAAAATTTGAAACTATCTATACCAGAGCAAGTACTAAAGACTAGGTATTATGTCCTTCCTTCTTTCGATTTCTCGAAATTAAGAAAAACTTTGGTAAAACAATCAGCAATATTTTGGGCAAAACTTACTTCAATAACGTAGTATCTGCAAGCGCAGCAACATTATTGAATAACTGTATAGGAATGACTGTGGGAAAGCAAGCATGGTGGATCAGGAATTAAATGGCCTGTCAAATCAAAATCAAAGAAAATTCTACCACATACCGGCACTCTCAGATTGTAAAACAAAAGGCAACAGTGTCGCGTTTTGAAATAATGTACCTAACTACATATTGGGAAACGGAAACGAATCCAACTGGATCTGAATGTTACCTATATGCGGCAAGGGCGGATCCAGCTTTGGCGCCAGGGGGTCATATAGTCGTGGTATATTAAATACTGAAAGTACTTAAATAAAATCCCCTTGGGTTTGGTCCATCTGTACCCAGCCAAGGGGTCATGACCCCTATGACCCCCCCCCTGGATCCGCCCTTGATATGCCGCAGCAGCATTCTTTCTAAAACATAGCCATCAAGTACTTCATATTTCTCTTTTAATGCCCTTTTTTTAGTATCTGGCTCATTGCTTATATACCTATACATCTATATGACTTTCCTAAACTGCCATTATATATAGCAGGGCAGGTTTAATAGACCTTTAGATCATCCATTGTGTTGAGTTTTAAAAAAAAAAAATATATATAAACAATGAAAACTACGCAACTTATAATTAAGGTTGGTGTTGTTATTTTTTTTTTGTTTGAGATATCCACTTAGTTCTCTATAATTTAAGATTCCGCAATTTAAGAACTGTCGGTTGCCTAATTTATTTTTTGTAATTGTTTTTTAATGCTATAAATTGTTCTTAAGTATTTCACTTTATGTAGTAGGTACTTAAAACACTGTTCTTTTGTGGTTTTATTTTAATTGTTTCTTTTTATTTTTGTTGTTTCTTTTTATTTTTGATATCTGGAATTTCGATATCCAGGGGTGCGTGGACGTGTACTAAGATGAAAAGGGTGCAAGCTGTCCTTAAATACCTTCGCTCTCGAATAGGCAGCCACTTAAGTCTTTTGCGGAACTCGGAAATGTGGTGGTATTTACGTAAACCAAAAACAAACGAATAGTGTTATTGAGAAGACGATCCAACTTATTAAGAAATTGTTGATTTATATTAGTATAACTAGCATCAGCATAATCAAAGAGGATGAACAAGGGAAGAATGATCGAGTATAAGCCCAAGGTTTTTACGTTCGTAGAATATGGGATGAGTCCTACACCATTGTACGTAACAGCTGGAACTGTGTTCAAATGTAGCTGAGAAATTGGTCAAGAACTGCCAATAATGATCGCCTGACATTTAACAGGGTTGATGTTAATCCCAAAACTAACAGACCACTCACGTATCCGTGAGAGGTTTTCATTCAGTAAACACACTGCCCTCCCCAGGTTGGGCAGGGTGTCCTGCGCATACAATTGAAGGTCGTCTGCATACAGATGATAAGAGGTGGAAATAATGGTGGCAAAGGGAGTATATAAATAGAGAAAAGAAAAGAGGTGAGTACCCCTGGAGATAATTTAGACCAGTTAGAGATCAATTGATCGATTTTACGGCTTGTTCACGCCTCCGAAGGTAGGAACTGAACCACTTTAGCGCATTGGAGGAACATCCAAGTTGGGCAAGTAGAGCAAGAAGGATATCATGATCAACTGCATTAAAAGCGTTAGAAAAATCGGGTAGTACTAACACAGTCAACCGTGACTCCTCCATGCCATCGCGTATATCCTGCCGCCGTAGTGGTACTGTGTCCGGTGCGGAACCTCGACTAGAAGGGTGTTAGAAGGCGGTTGCGATAAAAAAAATGAAGAAAGCTGTTGATGGACAGCAGTTTCGAGAATCTTAGAGAGGTACGGTAAAATAGAGATAGATCTAAAGTGATCAAGAGTGTAGGAGTTTGAAATTTTGGAAAGAGGTTATAGAGTAAGCCTTACGCCATACATTAGGAAAATAACCAGAAGATAGGGATTTGTTCATAATAAAATTTATGATTTTATATATGTATTATGTATACGTAGAAAGATAAAATGAACGACCATGTTCATAAAAAAGGTAACTCAGGTTAGGTATCGACTATCAAGCGGGTCAGTGTGGTCATCTCGGACTTAAATAAACATAAGGCTGTAACCATAAAAGGGTTGTTAATAAAAGGGTGTGATTTTCAATCACTAAATTAATAGTCTTTGTTCGAAAAATAATACATCATCATTGATCTGGTAGATCTTCATTGAATATTAATTCAAATTTATTTGGAAACAATGCATGTTATTATGATGTTTTTTTATGCATGTGATTATGCATAAAAAACATCGTGCATGTCTTTGAAATTTGAAGATTTCCCTCGATTTTCTTGGATTCCACCATCAGATCCTGTCTCGGTTCCAATGGGACCATCTCGGAAGTGCACATAAAAAAAGAATTTTGGAAAGCGGTCCACAATTGGCGGAGAAATCGGTGAACATACATAAAAAATATATATATACAGTCGAATACAAAACCGCCTCCTTTTTTGAAGACGATTAAAATTAATTTATAATTATCACTGAAAGACAATAAATATAAAAATTATCAATGAAATCCCTCGAAACTCGATGACTTAAAATTAAATGAAACTACCAAAGGTTTACCCATTTTCTGAAAAGGAACACAAAAAAAACTGAGCTGCAAAAATCTTAATCCAATATATGCAGTATTGGGGAAAGGGAGTGCTTTTTCTGGTGATTCGGCGTCCGCTGTTGCGGCGGTTTTGGTCGTAACACTGACATAACCTAACCTTGCGATTTAAATGTTAAAATACTGATTATAAAACATAACAAGTCCAAAACTCGTAGTTCACTCAATTCTTTAGGCAAAACAGCGGCGTGTGGTGTGGTGAAGGAAATCGGTCGATAGCACCAGATTGATTAATTCCTCAGAACACTCTTCCATTGTATAGAGGATACGGTATCCTCGCATAAGACGCACAAAGTCGCAACTTCTCTGCGCCAGCTTAGGGTTTGCGCAACGCGTCAGTGAGCTCAGGATCATCGATAAGTCGAACCGCCTTTGTATCCGGTCAAGAAGAAGGAGGGAGCTGAAACTGGGGTGCTCCAGGCCAGAGACGAGAGCAGTACTCCATAGTCTCCATATGCGCCCGTACCTGTGCTTTGTAAAGCAACATCCGGTGTTTAGGATTGAAGTACTTTCTCGCTCTTTTGTATATGGTTTTTCTTTCCAAAAGTGATCTCAGCACTTCGTTCGAAATATCCACTGCTAGAATTCCGATGATTTTAAAGATGTCAAGAGTTGTCTTGGAACTAAGGCGCTGCTATTAATGGGGATTTTGTCGCGATAAACGCGTGCTCTGGTGTTTTTGTCGGGTTTAATCGGACAAAATTTTGTCGGCCCCAATTTGAAACTTGGCGTAGTAAAGTCTTAATCTCAGACACAAATTTCTCTCTACACTCCTCTACTTCCAACCGACCGATATTTGACCCGCCAGTGTATCAAGTGTCGCCAGTGCTGTCATTCGCATATCAAGAATACAGGGGTAAAAGAGACAAAAAATGGCTTCGTGTATGGAACCAACCCCGTATGAAAAATAATTTAATAGAATTTTTAATTCAATATTCGGCTTTGGGCCAGCATTCTACATAAAATATCAATTGATTTTTCAGTTCTGTAACTGATTCCGTTTACGATCTAGTGATATACGGATACAAACGACAGAGTGTCAGCAAATTTTGTAAGATCGACTTTTTTGTTTATTTTATTTGTAAACTTATTGTGTAACTTCTAGTTTGGTACATTGAAATTCATAAAAATCTTATAGTACTTATACTATTTTGTGCGACGAGAATTCAGACAGTGGTGTCGATTCTAGCATGATTCTCTCAACCTAAACTTAAATTTGACAGCAGCATATCCTTGTCATTCTCTATACAGAATGAAAAGGAGAGACTGATGTTAAATTTAGTTTTAAGTTTAGAGAATCACGCCAGAATTGGCACCACTGTTTACACGAAATAGATGCCTATTTTGTGCTCTTTATCTGCCCTATATATGTAGGTTTAATGTGATGTATAAATTGAACGTCTATCGAATTTGAAGTGATATTGTAGGTAGCTACTATACTAATACCACTTAAGAACTAGTGTCCAATTTCGCACTGGCACTTATTACATTTATAGCAAAAGTGTTGATCTTGCGTTGCTTCCTCAAGTTTACGCGGTTGTTGCACCCTATCACCACAGTAATAAGCTATCATTGTCACCTGCTTTAAAAAGAGCGTTGACCTCTGCGAAATTGAAGCTTCACGCAACCATAAATAAACTATAGGTCAAGGTCGAATGGAAAGATGACTTCACGAACTGCTCTAAATTGAGTTAAAATCGGTTTATCACGGCTACGCGAACACAATGCTTGAGCGGTAGAGTCGAACCTGACTAATGCTGTGGCTACACTAACTGGAAACGTCGATGCATATCAACGCGATAATTAATACGTTAATTGAACGCGAAAAGTGAGTGGCTACACTTGAACTGTCAATGTGTGTGAATTCCAACGTGAATAAAATTTAACAAGAAATTGACGCTAATATTCCTTAAATTTGAAGCAAGACGGACGCTGACGGTGCTGCTCTGTATTTGATGAGTGTGAATTTAATTATTAAATTTTATTATTTGTTGTCAAACATCATTTTGCAATGCATGACACAATTATATTCTCATTACCCCACTCCATAGCCAAAGCATCTACGTATTTACAAAGAAATGCGTGCGATTCCGTCGGACCACACTGAGTACATATTATAATGTGGCCGCTTCAATGCATTAATCTCTTTGATGTACCGGTAGGTACTTGATCGATCGCCAAACGTCAAACAGCAATGTTAACGCCGTTATTTAATTATTTCTAAGTCGTGGCTACACCTACGTTAAACTTCATTATTAAAACGTAACGAAACCCGTTACTGTGGCTCCAGCATAAGGGTCAGTTCAGACCAAGTCACGACGCCGCCTGCACACCATACAATATAAAACTTTCTTTGCTACACATAAGACACACATTTCATAAAAAAAAACTCGAATATTTCCACACAGCGTCGCGCTACGCTAAGCGCAATGAAATGTGTATCTTTTTAGGGTTGTATACTTCAGAAGGAGAAACCGAACCTTTATAGGAACGGAATCTTGACAGATATGTAGACGGACTGCCGGACAACAAATGATTCTATTGTAACGTCAGCGAGTACTTTGTATCTAGAGCAAGCTGAGAGCCGGATTTACAGCAAGTAGTAGAGCAGTTAAGTAGTAATGTTTCTTATGGTTATCTTTAGTATAAAACAGCTATTCTCTTCCCACATCACTGACCCTACTTAATTACATTAATGCGATAACTTTAGATTGCGATTCTGGGAGTGGTTGTAAAGACTTACCTGGGTCAACGTTACGTCACTTTCGTGAGACGTAAACATATGTTATTTAGGTACACAGTCTGTGCTCTGTGTCAAAAATAGAAAGAAAAGGAGATGGTTATATTTAAATATTACTTACAGGAAAGCCTCCGGGTCAATGTTGCTGATATTGTTCCCTGACAGATCCACATCGATCAAGAACTCCAGCCCTCTGAATGAATCTCTATCCACATGAGTGAGCCTATTGTTAGCTATTTGCAATCTCCTCATCTTAATATCCGCAGGGAACGTCTTCAAGGTCGTGATATTGTTGCCGTTTAAGTCAAGAATGTAGACACTCATGCTGAGCTCGTCGTATGGTACTTCTGTGAGGTTGCTCTCCGAACAATCAGTGACCCAGTTGATTCTGAAGTAGTGGCAATCGCATTCGTCGGGGCATTCCAGTTCAAAGCTGTCCCCATTGAAGGCATTAGTCAAAGTATTCGCTAAGAGCACAAGAACAAGAACAGACAATCGGGCCATGTTCGCGTCTTCAAATAGTAGCTTTAACACCCATATTATCTGTAACAAAGGGAAAACAACTTGTTATCGCGCCATGGTGTGTAGATACAAGAGTTAGATTGAAGTCGTTAATAGAAATAACGCACGATAACATACGAGTGTGAAAATGTAAGGAATAATAACGACATCTGTGTACTTTGCAGGCACTATGGTATATTATATGTATTGTAATGCCAATAACTTTATTATTGTTGATCGAAGGGCATTAAAATATGTAATCCATTCTGTATACTTTGCGAGGCTAGCAAAATATCTAATAAAATATCGATAAATAAGTGAAATATAATGAAATTATAATTCATTCAAATTGACTTATTGAAAGCCGTCTTTTTAATCGTCTAATATTTTTTCTTACATGACCTGGTATTTAGGACATTTTTAGCTGATGAGAGGAATGGGTGCAGGAAACTCATTAGCATTTAGGTCCAACATTTATAATTATTACATTTGAAGAGTCAATATGTATAGTATATAATATATTCAAAATAAAAAAATGACATTTGCTAAAAAATCAGCGCAATTATAAATTATACGTTCATTAAGCATAACAGGTAAAAAAGTACTTCAATACGTCGCCATTCTTCCAATTAGAGATGTCTCATCGTTTAGCCGCGATTCCAGAAGAATCACGAAGTGGGCAACTTAATATGAATGATGGAGCTCGTGACAACAATCGCCCTAATGGGAAATATCCTGTCAGAGTCACCACTTACAGAATTATATCAGAAATTTCCAGAAAAAGGTAGATACGGACAAAGCAATACCAATAAATAGGGAGATGGCAGGTAACGCTTCGTTGCCTTTATAGTGTAATGCCGTATGATTGATAGCCTTGCAATAACACAATCTCTAATCGGTTTTGCTAAGCTGCTGAGATAAATATCGAAAGTTCATTGAACAACAACACATTTATTTATTGTATTATTCATTTCATTAATGGATTTTTTAGGTCCTAAATTCATAATGTTCTCTTTGAAACTGATGAAAAAATTTCAAAGAAACCTAGTTCAAAGGTTCATTATACAAAAATAGCACATTTCTGTGTAAAAAAATGCTTAGGGATTCTAAGCTGGTGGAAACTACGAATTTTGTTTGATTATTTCCTAATTCAAAATAGTTATCGTAGTTTGTTAGTGGATTCTTGCTTCTATTGGTGCTAAGGAAAAAAAATCTGATAAATTACTTTAAATTAGTGTTACTTATCGTAAGGAAACTCTCAAACGAATAGATTATGAAACGTAAACATTTTAAGCATTGAATACAGCTTACGTATAAGTCTCTGATTTAAGTCCATCCAATTACAGATCATTGATGCATGACTCATGAAACGTAATTGAATGTAATTTTAAATCTTTACCAATATTGTGTAAGATATCTGCTAAGTTACAGCTACGTGACTGCAGCAGGAAATCATTTCTTTCATTAATGACCTAAGATGACTCATTCACAAGTTATTGTTCAACGGATTGAATACCTAGCTATCTGCATATATATAATCATCAGCTATAGCTAGGAAAGATGTTGATGTCGGTTCGCCCACTGACGTAATTTCAGTTAATTAGTTTATGTCCTTAGTTTACGAAGACCTATAGTTTGGAAAGGTGATTAATTTGATTGAAGAACCTACCGCAACTACTTTATTCCACCGACCGCTTAGCAGTGAAAATTTTACAATTACTACGTATTTTGGGTAGGTGAACAATACAGAGTAATGTGTTCGAAGACCAAAATCAATTAAACCACCAAAGGATTTCAGATACCGTCGGATGTATTTGGCCACTAGGTCCAATACAATTAAAGTAGGTTACATTCACACGTACCAAGCTACTACCATAAATAACAATAAAAATGCACTTTCTTTGTTTATATATACATAAATAATCTCTTAGACTCAACAAATATTTCTTCCTCGATTAACACAGACCGCATAGTGAGACTGATTTCGCAAGATATCCAGTTAAGCACAATAACAGTGAATTTGTTTTCATAACAGCGTAGCCGGCGCGCGTCAAAGGATCGGGTCATACTAAAGAGAAAATTACGTTTGCACCTACATAAAATCCTGTTGTATATAGTAACCAGATACAGATTAAATCGCGACAAAAGTGCACGCAGCTAATAGCTCGGCTATAACCACGACGAGGTTAAACGACCCTGTTGTTCCGGGCCGGTGCATGCGAGTATTACGAACTTACATGACTGACGGGCGTGCACACCTCTCGACCACCGAGTCTTTACTGGAGGGAGTGTGGAGGTAGCGGAAGGCGGAGGCTAGATAGGAGGCTACTTGCTTGCGCGTACTGATGATGTATAGACGCCCTACGTACCTATTACATTTGTATGTTTTCACCATCAACACCACTTGGCCCTTACTACGTTTGGTTCGATACTTTTGACGGAAATGCTAATAGCCTTGGTGAATATTGCCTGCACTAGAGATACAGGTGAATGAACAGTAAGTAGCAAAAAGTAACTACGCGTTCCACCAAAATGTCGCTTTCGTTTATATTATTAAAGCGTTTCTAAGATGAATCATAACAGCAGGTTCGTCACGGTCACGACTACTAGATAACATTGTTAACCTTTATTTATTTTTAATCTCAATCTGTATAGTAGTGGCGATGTGATGATGGAGGTGGAATCATTGAACATCAAAAACGCCTAAAAATATTCGTGTGTTCGTTTCCAAAACACTGGTTATTGCTAATGTAAATGACAAAGGCGTTTAAGGATAAATTCATGGAGGTGTGGATTAAATTACTTAATTACAGGACGAATGACATAGCGCCCGTTACAAAAACACACAACAAGATATAAGCTGCTGTAATAGGTATAAATGGTCCATGATAATCGGTCCGATTCTTTTTTAGAACAGTTTGTACTTGTCGTGCTCAATACACAATAGCAAGGACTGACTGTCCAGCTCCAGTTTGTCATAAAAGAAGACTATACAATCTTATTTTATGTTAAAAGTGTATTATTATGTGAAAATTAAGCCCTTTGCTTTTTAAATCGTTTCTTTTGGCTGTATGATCTTTAAATTCTGAACCTTCCACGAGAGCTTAAAAGATGACAATGTCATTGTTCCTCGGCCGGTCTGAGTTTTTGGAGCGATTTCATCGAGTGGGGTTTGGCGTGTTATTTTAATTATTCTTAAATTCGTTCATAGTGGATATTGTGAAATAAAATTGGTGTGAGTTCGTGTTACAACCGCAACCGAAGAATTAGTGGAATCTCTAAAATATACGCTATTCCGGTCAAGTGGATGTGGGAACTTTGTTGTAGTGTTGGCTACCTTACAGAAGCTTATCGTCAATCTTTATATCGTCGTCGTGCCAAACATTCCAAGAAATATTACAATGCGTCACACCGACATTCTAATGTAAAAAAGAAGATTAATTAAATATTTTCTTTAATCTTGTAACTGCTTGATGTTTAAATCTAAAGAAAATATAACTAGAAAAAAAATCTAGTTATATTAAGAAGATTAATATAACTTAAGACTAGGCTGTATGGGCATTGTTCCTTTTGGATTCCCTAAAAAGGGAGAATCTTAAAAATATAAAATAAAAGGCTGTCTGTCATGTCAATGATGTCAATGTCAAGTGTGACAAAATGATTGAGGAGTTTTTGGCGGGATTTGTTCGAGTGCGGTTGGCGTGTTATTTTAATTATTCTTAAATTCGTTCATAGTGGATATTGTGAAATAAAATTGGTGTGACTTTGTGTTACATTACAACTGTCTGCGTAACTGAAGAATTAGTAGAATCGTCAAAATATACGTTATTCCGGTCAAGTGGACGTGAGAATTTTATTGTAGTATTGACTACCTCACAGAAGCTTATCGAAAAAGCCAGCTCGATACATTTCGTGCCAAACACTTCAAGAAACATTAGAATGCGTCACATTTCAACGTAAAAAGAAAAACAGAATAATTTAATATAAGACTAGGCTGTATGGGCATTGTTCCCCTTGCCTTCCCTGAAAAGGGAGAATTTAACAAAAAAAAACAAAAAGATTGATCGACTTCTTATCATCAGATTTTTCCAAAAGTTTAGGGATAGGTGCATTAATTGATAAAAACAATGGCACAAAATGAAGCGGGACAGTCTACAGATGAAGAACCCTTGAAAGTTATATTCGATCAAGCCATGAAACTATTTGAAAACACAGAAAACAGTAACGAAGCACTTAGCAGCGATCCAGTACAGGTGAAGACGTAGATCATTGTTTTATTTATTATTTTTATACTGATCGTTAAATTTATGAAACTAAAAATTCAATTGCATTTATAAAATTTCGTATCAACAGATTTGTTTACAAAAGTATGATTAATACATACTATAATTTCTGTTTATTGTGATGATTTATTTTCAGATGACCATAAAATCGGCAATATCAAAGTTGGAGAAAGCAACTAACCTAGTCTCCTTTACTGGAATGTTCAGTAAAAATGAGAGTCTTGATGAGTTGCCAACTGAGACATTGCAGTATTTGTTACTCCCTGCATTACTCGGAACTCTCACCCTTAAGTTGGTGGGACCTCCTCGAAAAGAGTTAATCAATGTGGCTGAAATTTATTTCAAGTGAGTTTATAATTAGTAAAATAAAAAAATGGAATATTTAAATTATACCTATTGAAGAATTAAGTGCTTGCTGTTATTATTTTTGTATTGTGTTCTGCTAGAGACTTTCTTCAGAGATGTAAGGACTATGGTATAACAGATGTGGAGGTACCACAGACTAGTGAAGATAGTGAGCTGTCTTTGTCAAGGCCACAAAGCGAACAAGCCAAGATTGCCAGTATGGTAGGGTTTTAAATATTTAGATTACATATCACACTAATATTATAAAGGCTAAAATGTTTGTGAGTGTGTGAGTATGTGAGTGTATGTTTGTTAGTTCTTCACGTCTAAACGGCTGGAGCGATTTTAATAAAATTTGGTATGGAGTTAGCTGACGCCCTAGATTAACACATAGGCTACTTTTATCCCGAAAAAATGTTAGGTTCCAGAGGGATTTTCAAGAAACTCAGTTAAAGCAGACGAAGTCGCAGGCAACGTCTAGTAATACATAATGTTTAAATTACTTAAGTTTATTTTTCATTTTTTGTGAGTGAATGGCTTAACGGTCCTCTTTTATTTGTAATAGTAGTTATAATATTAAAATAATAATATTTTATAATACTATCCATTAGTTATACATTTTAATTTTTGTATCACAACAAATTTCAGGTAATGTCAAGGGAAGCAAAAATTAAAAGGTACAAAGAAATGAAAGAACTAAAGGAAAAGTTAAGCACATTATCTAAAGCCATGAGCTCAGCTTCCATTGACGATGAAACAAAGAGGTCTTACTTTACCACGATGTTGTTGAGTTATGTTAACCAGGCTCTTGATGAGATCAGTAGCATTGAACAGGAGAAACCATTATTGGAGTATATGGAGAAACATGCTGGTGGTAAAATCAGCTTTGCTAATTTGTAGTTCATTATATTATTCATCATTAATTTAGTTCCATACTTATTTTATATGATTTGCTGTGGCTTTGCATTGGCGAAATTTATTTTTATGTAGCAAGATGTAAAAATTTACGAGTTTATATTTTGGACTGTCATAACTCTGACACATGCATTAAGATTAAGATCTTATATCCTTTGCATTAATGGTGACTTTCAATATTAAAATATTTCCTAAAATGTATTTGCTTATGTGATTATTCCATAGAGCCGTGTATCATTCAATGTATCATTCGAACAGTTATCGGAAACAATTTTGTTTGTGATGTTCTATCCAGGTTTCTGATATTGTTGAGTATATGTCTTGTCTTGCTCTCAACATTCAAACATTGCAACATTGTTTGAAGCTTCTTTGGTGATTCTTAAAAAAGTATTATCAGCAAATCTCAAATGATTTTACAGTTTTCCATCTACAGTAAGACCAAACTGCTCCCAGATAAGATACCAGAAAACACTCCCTAAAACTGCTAAAATAGTTTTGGAGACATGGGGTCTCCTTGCCTTACAACTCTTTCTATTGGGAATGTCTGTCTGTCTTCCCATTCTTTCGAGCTTAATTCTTGCATTATTAGAGCTGTATATATTTTTTAACAGGTAGATGTATCATCCCTTGTTGTCCCATACTTTCCCATATACAACAGTGATCAAGTCTCAAATGCTTTGGCATAGTCCATAAAGCTTAAATATATTGGTTTATTGTATTCTCTGCATTTTTCTAAAATCAGTTTTGACAAGTGTATATGGTCTATAGTAGAGTAATTCTTTCTCAAACCAGCTTGCTCTGGATCTGCAGGTTAACTTTCGCCTAGCTCGCTGCAGTAATTAACCCAAAAGATAATTTAAAAAAAAATTTTTAGTTAATGTTGAACATGAGGCTGATAGCTGTTAGTGGTGTTGATTCTAGCATGATTCTCTCAACCTAAACTTAAATTTGACAGCAGTATATCCTTGTCTTGGATATCTCTATACAGAATGAAAAGGCGAGACTGATGTTAAATTTAGTTTTAAGTTTAGGGAATCACGCCAGAATTGGCACCAGTATCATCTTGTGCACCTTTTTTGTTTAAGAGGATAATTTTAGATACTCCCCACTTTTTGGTATAAGACATGTATGTAATATCTCATTGAATATATTTTGGAGTACTGTGACAAGATATTCCATCATGCAATGGCATAGTGTGGGCTATAGACACCCCCGGGGGGGAACCATAGTTTGCCAACCTTGTGAGGACATTTTATTATTTGTTTCTTAGGTTTTCACGCACATGAAGGTCCCATTTTTAGGGTTTTCGCATATATCTCGGAAACTGCATCCTAGCGCCATGAGACTTTGACAAAAGTGAAAGCTGATTAAATTTGCTACAAGTCTTATTCAGTCAAGTTTTTTAATATCTTGTATAGTTTTCGAGATATCCGCTCTTAAAAGTCTGTAATTATGGAAAAAAAATTTGCTTCACATTTTTGCTCTATTTGACCGGATAACTCTTCAACAATGCCGGCCGTAGGGTTGTTGGTTCCACCAGTGAGCAGCATGCAGATTTCGAAAAAGCCCGCCAAAACAAGGATGGATCTGACATTGCCAAGCTCACCGATTGGTTTGAGAAATTTCCTCTCTTCCCAGAGACCAGAGACATTATCAAGTCACCAGAAATCCAGAAAGCAGCAGCGGTCTTTTGACATCCTTTCTCCACCACCGCTCAAGTACAAAAGGCAGGTGAAACCTGCATCTTAAGGTGGTATGGAGCTTCAGTGAAAGAGATTTCCCTCAATGCCTACAGGTACAAGTCATTCTTGAAATCAGTGGCCACCATCAAGCCTGATATCTCTTGTCTTCCTCTCACCGAAGGAGCCGTAAAACAGCATTCCCAGGAAGTGGTGGCAAATTTTTTTTTCCATAATTACAGACTTTCAAGAGCGGATATCGCGAAAACTATACAAGATATCAAAAAACTTGACTGAATAAGACTTGTAGCAAATTTAATCAGCATTCACTTTTGTCAAAGTCTAATGTCGCTATGATGCATAGTTTCCGAGATATATGCGAAAAACCTAAAAATGGGACCTTCAATCCCCCTCCCTTCCCCCCGGCTTAAGGGCTACGGGCGGGGACTTTTGATGTAAACATATCTCCTAACTAGTCCCAACAAAGTTACGAAGTCAAAAATTGTGTTCCAAGCATTTCCCTCTATATCTGTTTTTGAGCATTCGTTGCCTGGACTATATTTGGTTCGGAGTTTATTCATTACAAACACCCAAAAGTACAACCAAAACAACACAAATATTTCCTCTTTATATATGTTAATGCCACATCTTTAGTAGTAATATTAATGACTAGTGGATGCCCACGATTTTGTCTGCGCGGATAAATTGGTTTCCCATATATCCATATTTATATCCATTCTTCTTTTCACTGCCTTTAAAGATGATTTCTGGGATAAAATCTATCCTTTATTCTTTCCCGGGATTCAAAACTATCTCTTTACCACATTTAATCTAAATCAGTTCAGTGGTTTAAGCGTGAAGAGTTAACAGATAGACAGACATACTATCGCATTTATAATATTAGTATGGATCGCATTTATACTTTTTATTTAGCTAAAATTGCTGATAATCCATTCCTCTAGAACCGAAGCCTAAGCAACGTCCACGAACTCCACTTCGCCCAGTGATAATCACTCGAGATGCAGTACAGAAAGCAGTGTTTGGTGCCGGCTATCCTGCCATACCCTCCATGACTATTGAGGAGTTCTACGACCAGAGAGTCAGGGATGGAACGTAAGTGCCACTGATTTTAGTTTGAAATTAGTTGTTTAGACATATTCTTTAAGGATAAGGATGTAGGTCAAAGCTTATTTTCTACAAAAATAGAGGCTAATATATCTGGAGATAAATACGCATATAAATGACTACAGCCAAAAGCATTTATAGTGATATATCAAAATGTTCAATACTTGTAAAAGTATTAATTTGACATTTGACATCTGGGTGGACCTACAATGCGAAGAGATGGCGCTGCCTTGCAGCTTAAGAAAAGCTAGAGAAGATTCGAAACGGCCATCAGGGCCGCGGTAGCATAATGGTCAGTGCATTCGCCCGGATAGCGAAGGGTGCGGGTTCGATTTTCGTCTGCTGCCTGGTCCGCGTAGAATTTTTTCTAGTAACATTTTCTTTAGATTTAAACATCTAGCAGTTACACGCTAAAAAAATAAAGAAATAAGTATATACCAAAATGGCTTATCATCAGATGAGGTGTAGTAAATAGGTGGGTTCACAGAGCGAGCAGCCTTGCGATGCAATTGCCTCGCGTGCTCGGTCACTCGCCCGCGGAGTTCGCGTACATACCTCGGTCGAGGCACGTCCACACTAACCGAGCTGCCTCGCGAGGCAATTACCTGGTCGCTCTGTATGGCCCTGCCTAATAGGCGCACCTACACAGAGCGAGCAGCCTCGCAAGGCATTTGCCGTGCGAGGAAACTGTCCCCGAACGAACGCGGCAAGCCCGAGCCAGTTTTCTTCGTTCGTTCATTCTCGTGATTTTTCCCGCCTGAAAGATCTCATCAATGACTCCATTTTCTTTTTTAAATCAGGAACCGGGACATTCATCTCGTGGCTAATATTTAACCAGGCATCTTCCCTTAGTCCTTTATTTGTAAAATTAGGATCACTTGCACTCCATAGCCAGGTTTTTACACCATAGATAGATATTAATTTCAAACACTGATCTTTATTCATAATTATTATGCTCGACCGAGGCACGAAAAAACAAAAAACCAACACTCGATGGCTCGGGCGCTCGGTCGCTCGCCCGCGGCAGCGCGCGCGCTTGAGAGGCTACTTGCTCTGTGTAGACGCGCCTAATGGCTAAGATATTAAATCACATAAACATCTTTCAAAACCAGAGTATGTTCAATTTGGTGATTCCAAAAAGGTATTTTTATATTATGCGTTTCATAATTTGAGATTTAAAAAAGGTAAATTTAAAAAATCTAAAATCCCGACTGCTTAAATATTACTTCAAATAAAATCTGAAAAAAAGTCCAGTAGTCTAATTCTGTTAAGTAAGGAACAAAGCTAAACAGTCGGGAGCCATTATATATTCAAGAATGGATCATTTTTTTTCTATTAAAAGTCCCGACTGTTGAAGTAGCTTTGTTTCTCATTTAACAGGATTATAGACAACTTGTTTTTTTCATTTGAATTTTTATTTGAAGTAATATTTAAGCAGTCGGGTTTTAAGATTTTTTAAATTTACCTTTTTTATTACACACTTTTTAGATAGGATTATAAGACGGTATACCGTCTTATAATGCTTGCGGCAATATATATACCGTCTTATAAGACTGCGGTATATATACCGCAGTCTTGTCACTTTAATAGGTAAGGAAGTTAATATCGCGGGGATTATTAAGAACCTTGCAGTGGTCTAAACGATTGATTTATTAAGACATATAGAGACCTTACTACTAGGGTCAAGGCTTCGGATGGGCCTCAATTTTCGCAAAAAAATGTGAAGTTAATTAAGTCGATAGTTCGTTACCTATATATCTAATCCATGTAAATATAAAATACATTTATTTTTATTCATCAACTATCTAAAATTGGCAGTGGCTGCATTGTCAACGTCCGGATCTAAGATTGTGATATACACAAATGAAATGAAATGAAATTCAATTTATTGCACTCATGTGGTTACATGGATGGTTACAAGTTACAAAATGCATAAAGTACCTAACATGAACCCTGTCAGGGTGAGTGCAGTGTCATATCCTAGTCTCATAATTTGTTTTACCTACATAATTCACAGAAACCAAATATGTAGATGCCAGAGGTTAACTTTAAATGTTGTTAACCCAATTAATACCAATCAATGACGTTAATGTCGCAGGTTGACGAAAGCATTAATTCCCGTCTGTTGTTTTGGACACTGGTGGTAACTCGTATAGATCGCAAAATTTGATAATTATAAAATTACCAAAGCAAAGTTTATAAATTTGATTAAACTAAAGGCGTAGAATAAAATTTCCATAGCGTTAGGTATAGCACCATAGCAATCTCAGTTATTATCTATTTATTACCCAATATAATTATGCTTTTCACAAACCATGCTATAAGCACAAATTACGTTTTTCATAATTTGAGATTAAAAAAATGTTTTCGTTGATATAATGTGCATGTTATAATAATTATAATTATGTTTTTATTTATTTTTAAGCATTTAACTGCTTGTTGTTTAAATCTAAAGAAAAGTTTACTAGAAAAAAATCCACGCGGACCAGGCAGCGGACGGGACTCGAACCCGCACCCTTCGCAATCCGGGCGAATGCACTGACCATTATGCTACCACGGCCCTATTCACCGCGTCGAAATTTTCCTAGCCTTAAGCTGCAAGGCAGCGCCATCTCTTCGCATTGTAGGTAACCCACAATGTCAAACGAATACTTTTCAGGTATTAAACATTTTGAAAGAAGAAATAGCAATTATAGATATGTTTTTATTTATTTTTAAGCATTTAACTGCTTGATGTTTAAATCTAAAGAAAAGTTTACTAGAAAAAAATCCACGCGGACCAGGCAGCGGACGGGACTCGAACCCGCACGCTTCGCAATCCGGGCGAATGCACTGACCATTATGCTACCACGGCCCTATTCACCGCGTCGAAATTTTCCTAGCCTTAAGCTGCAAGGCAGCGCCATCTCTTCGCATTGTAGGTAACCCACAATGTCAAACGAATACTTTTTCAGGTATTAAACATTTTGAAAGAAGAAATAGCAATTATAGATATGTTTTTATTTATTTTTAAGCATTTAACTGCTTGATGTTTAAATCTAAAGAAAAGTTTACTAGAAAAAAATCCACGCGGACCAGGCAGCGGACGGGACTCGAACCCGCACCCTTCGCAATCCGGGCGAATGCACTGACCATTATGCTACCACGGCCCTATTCACCGCGTCGAAATTTTCCTAGCCTTAAGCTGCAAGGCAGCGCCATCTCTTCGCATTGTAGGTAACCCACAATGTCAAACGAATACTTTTTCAGGTATTAAACATTTTGAAAGAAGAAATAGCAATTATAGATATGTTTTTATTTATTTTTAAGCATTTAACTGCTTGATGTTTAAATCTAAAGAAAAGTTTACTAGAAAAAAATCCACGCGGACCAGGCAGCGGACGGGACTCGAACCCGCACCCTTCGCAATCCGGGCGAATGCACTGACCATTATGCTACCACGGCCCTATTCTATAATTATAATTGTAAATATATACAATGCAATAAAATGTTTTTTTTGTAACATTTGGCTGTATGTCATTATAGGTTCCCTGGCGCGACGAATATCGCTCATACAACTATACAAAGCACAGAAGCTGATGCAGATGAGTCTGAACAAATACGAAAGGTAAAATCTTTGCACTGTCACATATTGTAATTTATTTAGATACTAACTTCCGCCCGTAACTTCGTCCTCGTTAACTTAAGTTTTGCGCAACTTTCTTAACATTTGCTGTAAGAATCTTCTCCAATTTATTAGAAAAATAAAAAAAAAGATGAATGAAATTGGTAAAGTCGTTCTCACTTTATGGTGCATGGTATGACCAATGAAAATAGGAAATAATTTTTACATGTAAAGACGATTTATGATGTTTGTTTGGGCACTTAGTTTTTTGAAATTATCATAAATTATGCAGAGCCTTTGGAGCAAAATGCGTTAGCGATGCCGTTGCTCATATCAGTTGTCTATACACGTAACACGTGATTAAGCGTTTGGGTAATCACACAAAGTAATGCCTCTACCAGACTGTCCACTCACTAACGTTATCTCTGTCCACACGATTACGTTTCTCCGTCCATTCACTTACGCTTATGTCTCCGTTTCAGTCTCTCTACTCCGTCCGCCTGCTTACGTCTCCATCCACTCGTTTCCGTCTCTCCGTTTACCCGTTTACGTCTCTCCGTCCACCCGTTTCCACTCGTTACCGTCTCCGTCCACTCGTTTCCGTCTCCGTCCACCCGTTTCCTTCTCTGTCAACCCGTTACCGTCTCCGTCCACCCGTTTCGTCCCGTTTACCCGTTACCGTTTCTCCGTCCACCCATTACCGTCTCTCCTTCCACTCGTTACCGTTTCTGCGTCCACCGCTTACGTCTCTCCGTCCACCCATTTCTGTCTCCACGTCCACCTTACAGTCTCTCTGTCTACCCGTTTCCATCTCTCCGTTCATCCATTTCTGTCTTCCTGTCCACCTTACCGTCTCTCCGTCCACCCGTTTCCGTCTCTCCGTCTACCGCTTACGTCTCTCCTCCCACCCGTTTCTGTTCTCCGTCCACCTTACCGTCTCTCCATCCATCCATTTCCGGCTCCCCGTCCACCTTACCGTCTCTCCGTCCACGGGTTACCGTCACTCCGTCCACCGGTTACCGTCTCTCCGTCCACCCGCTGACACGTATCTCAGTCCACCCATTTACATCTGGAACGGTAGTCGTCGGTAGATGGGTTTCGAACAATAAATAACACGCCAACGATATGCTTGATTTAAGATAGAAAGAAATAGAAAAACTGTGTCAAAATAGGTCTCTCCACCCACCCATAAACTTGAAAAAGAAGTGCGTGTCCAGTAGATCTTAACACTAATTTACATAAATTATCATCTTTTTTGAAAATTATTTATTTCTAAAGAAATGTTTACTAGAAAAAAATCCACGCGGACCAAAAAAAAATCCATGGTCAGTGCATTCGCCCGGATAGCGAAGGATGCGGGTTCGAGTCCCGTCCGCTGTCTGGTCCGCGTGGATTTTTTTCTAGTAAACTTTTCTTTAGATTTAAACATCTAGCAGTTAAATGCTTAAAAAATAAATAAAATCATAATTATTTATTTATAAAAAAAATCTTGTGTAGCAAGCTTTAGTCCAGTTCCCATTTCGACTTGAAATCCATCGGTATGTCAAATCATTGATCTTACCATGGTTCTGCAGGAACGTTTGGAGGAAGAAGACGATCCCGAAGAGTTGGAGCGCAAACGCAACATGGACGAGTACAAAGACGACCACCGCCGCGGCTGGGGCAACCGCCACAACCGAAGTTAATTACACCATACGCTTGTTTTATGTACTTCCGGATGTAAACATTGAGGAAAATAAATTAGTTACGAACTCATTTTTGTTGTTTCAGTAATTTTTTTACGAGTTCTTGTGTAACCGGTGTTTTTACTAGAAAAATTATACTTTGCCCAGGTAAGGCGCTGGATTATATTTAACGTTGTTTAATGTTTATGTTAAATACTAGGTAGGTATAGGTAGCGGCAAACTTCTTAAGCAAAACCATAGACAAATAAACTTGAGCAGTATACGTTTTTGTTTGTAAAATTGCTATTGCGCAGGCTTCCTTGTCTGTGCTCAAGTAGCTCAAGAAGTTCGCTGGGTTTGGAATTAAATAAATTGTAATGGGCATTAAATTCACAAAATATATAGTGGACTCAATGCAAAAATACAGGATTATATGCTTGACCTAGTTTCTTACTTGTACAATATGTGCTGAACCCTCTTGTGTGAGTACGTTTTCTTTCTCTTTTATTTTTTCAAAATTTCCATATTGTATGGATATAACGTAAAATATTATGATAAATCGATAACAGTAAAGCATTTTTATTTCACATAACATGGAATTAACACTTGTCACTTATATTTTGGTTACGACTTCCTTTGTCTTTATCACGGTCTTTAGTAAGCTGTAATATCAAACTATGTTTAGTGTAAAAAATTTAAGCAATCTTATTGGAATCATTGCTATTGTTTAACCAATCATAATTGTTTTATTAAAACAAGGAGAAAAGTAAGTTAAGTAAGAATTGTAACGTACCACAAGGACGATCCATCAATTTTGGCAGTCATAGATTCCATTTCACACATTTTGCCATCTATCATCATGGTTATTTATCATATTTATACATTTTTCTTTCTTATCTTTCATTATTAATTCCTGGAAACGCACAATTTCAAAAATATCGCGCACTATTCATCATTTGGTAAATAGGTATCAGAATCCCATCCTACTAAAATCACTTTTCTAGAGTGCTGGACACTTACCGGCATCTTTCTATATCCTTATATTTATCTATCATAAAAAAATCAGTTTCTTTTGCCATATTTTATTCTGTTTTTATGTATTTTTAGGCATAATTTTGTTTATTTATTTTCTTGACATTTGTGGCACCTTAATGTTTTATCCGTTGCCATGGCTATCATATGACACGGATACTCTCCAACTAGGTCCATGCCTATTCAACCTTCACAGACCATCTACTTTGATGCTTTTTAGTTCGATTGGAATTGTGTCCAAATTTAAATGGTTCCGGTCCTATAAAAGGCCGAATCACCCTGATCTTTCATTCATTTCTTCGGCAAAAGTTGCTACAATAACATTTGTTAGCTCGCTACCTAGCTCTAAATAAATAAAAGGCCTTGTCTCGGGGCTGACTGCCCCGGGACTCAAGAAAAGACCTCAAAGCTCTACAGCACCCTTTGGCTCTCTCTAAACTTTACTCGTCCTCTTCACTGTACTTTCAACCTCATCGGCGAGAGTGTCGCCCGGTCTCCAGCAGCATCTTCGAGCCTTCAACTGCTTCGGCCGCCTACCAGCTGCACCTGCCGTTCCACCAGCAGTGCCGAACGTCCTGACACTTCGCCGGCCTACTTACCAGCCGCGCCGCCAGCCACCAGCAGGGCAGGCTAAAAACTTTGAGGAGAGACACCTGACCTGGAGCGTTTCCGCCTTCCCGAAGCGTCGTCCAGCAACCCGCTCAAGCCTTCACTGAAGATAGCTGACGACCCATACCCTCTACACAACTCTCTATTACTCTACTTCACACCCCACACTTCACATTCTCACGCAAATATATATATATATTTATATGATTGGACGAATGACCGCTGAAGCTCATTATATAATAGGGTTTCGTTATCATATTTCGAGTATGGAACCTAAAAAAAGGCATCTAAGTATAGACTATTATAATTATAATTGCATTATACTTTAAGTATATTTTCAGTCAATGGCTAAAGGTCAATGGCGCAAGGCCACCTGCGGCACCACGTACACTTTCACTGACGAAATCGAGAGTGCCACACGTGCAATCAATTTCTGTATGAATGACCTCTTTGATGAACGGCGCGCCCTAAGAGCCCTTAGGGCCTGACGCTTTGGTTGGCTTTTTAAATTTTAATGGAATTACCGGGCTGTGTCAGCTGCATGTAGAGGATAGCTTGAAAAAAGAGGTTATAGCATAACAAAGTGCTAACGCTAATTTTACAGCATTTTAGTACCAAAGCCACTTAGCCACCTGAAGCTTTGTCACGCGGATGTGGGATATGCAAGTTAACTGGATATATTATAACATTGGTAGTATCATAGATCAATAAAAGTATTTAAAAAATATATACTTTTATTGATCTGAGGAAAAAACATAGCCCAGGTGTAGGTAAGCGGCCGCCATATCCTAAAATAGACTTCTGAACAGTACCTATCATTTACGCTTTGCCGTTGCCTAGCCTAATCCCATATCCAGCCTCAGAGCCATAATATTTATAGACTGCCCCATACACTTACATAGCATTAGTACCCTTAGTACGAGTTTTACAATTACGAAAACTATGATAGTTTTCGTGAGCTCGCACTCGTACTAAGGATACTGATTTTATTGTTTACTTTTCAATGCAAATAAACAGTGTTTAAATTCTAGTATTAAGTCGTTTGCCTCTTCTTAAATTTTAAGAATATTTGGTTACTTTTCACCAAAATGGATACAGAAACATAATTTACAATTACGAAAACTATGATAGTTTTCGTGAGCTCGCACTTGTACTAAGGGTACTAAGGGTACTGGGAGCGATAAAAAAGTCGTTTTGATTTTTAGTTTTAGTAAATATCCCATAATATATGAGTATGGTACGTTGGGTTGGGTGCCATATTAAATTATACGTTGCGTATTCCATCATAATTTGCGTATATGAATTGCAAAGTGAAAGACGCTGAACTGAGTCAGGAGGACCCTGTATTAGTTTAAGTGGGACAGTTAGAGGATTGGTTTGCGAAAGCGGTAATATTACTGCAATCATATCGGGTAAGTAATGTACCTACATACTATGTTCGAAAACAGCAGCTCTTGAAGATATACACAGCTCTAAAAAATCTCCATTCGATTTTCAACCTTAGTTGACGGATACCTATCTACATAAAAAGTTCAAAATCTTTTGCAGATATTTGTGGTAGCGTGGCAAGCTGAAACTATTTTTTTTTTAAATTTGTTTATCATTTCGCTTTAAATAATAGGTTTTTCTTGTGGCTGCATCTATGCTGTTCACTTTTAGTTAGGCGTTAAAAACCTTCCAACTCTATGTACAGTACTCGTTTTTACTATAACGTATTCGGAATTCTGTGGTAGAAGTAGATGCCTGAAGATAGACAGTTATGTCAGGTTCAGGACATAATCTGTCGTCAGAGGCTCAATAAACAGATTGGCTTTCATTAGTTTTTATCTAATTCAACTATCCGCCCCACTTCTTATTTTGCATATGGTTGGTTGTGAAACGATAGGGTAGGACGTGTATCCTAAATAAAATCAAACAACTCTTTTATAGTTCAATATTTTTTATTACAAACAGATAAGTACGGTATTCTGTAAGCTGTTCTCAAAAACTCTTGGTTTTTGTTTTAGTCACGCCACAGGTCGCCCATCTTCCCATCCGCCCAATCACTCAACCAGGCAGCAGCGGTCCGATCCAAAATTTTAGCTGATATTATGCTTCTCCGGACGCACAGTCAACGGGCTCTTTTAGTAGACCGCAATGTGGTCCAGGAGTTGCTGTTGGTTAGACCTAATGAAGTTGTTATAGTCCTTAAATCAATGCATGGTAGCAAGGCAATACAACAACTCCCCAAGCTAGTATAGGTATTCGTACCTCATACGTCCGTTGACAGGTTTTTATTGAATCATTTGAAGTGATAATATTTGGTCGGGGAAAAAGTTTCTTCGCATTTTATATGAAAACTCAAAATCATTTTGTAATAAAGTTTATTTACAGTTAACTAAAGTATGTAGGTGCCATTTTATTCGATAACTATTTGCTATCTTGTAGGTAGGGACATGATTCCATTGCTATAGAAATTTTGGGGTTTTTGATCAAAAAACCGCGACATTTGGTTTTGGCAGTCCCTTCGTGATGTTAATCTGACACTGCCTTAAATCAGAAAGGGCAAGATCAGAACTATACGGCGGAGCATTAACACCTCCCAGACAAACTCTCTTAATTTTTGCTGAGTGGCTAAAGATGTTTGAGGTCTAGCGTTATCATGATGAAAAACCACACCCCTTCTGATGATTAATTCTGGCCGCTTTCTCTCAACTTCTTGCTTTAATCTCATCAGTTGTTCGCAGTAGAGTTCAGAATCGATGCTCCTGCCTGGCGTTAACAGCTCATAATGAATAATGCCCTTCCAATCCCACCATACACACAACAGCACCTTGTTGCGAGTTAACCCGGGTTTCGGCAGCGACTGTGAAGCCTGACCTGCCTCACCACGACCTTTTTGTCGTCCGTGATCCACATTTCATCACCAGTTATCAACTTCTTCAAAAATGATCGATTTCATTACGTCGTAATAAAGAATCACAAATAAGTAGGTGCACAGTTCATTAAGTTTCATTAGTGAGGTTGTGAGTCACCCAAATATCGAGTTCTTTTGTGTACCCAGCCTTTTTCAAATGCGCCAACACTGTTTTGTGGTCAATTCCCAGTTCTTCAGCTACGTCGTAACTACTGATATGGCGATCTCGCTTCACTTTTTCAAAAATGGCATCCATTTTATCCGTAACTGGGCGACGTGCATCTTTGATATCAAAATTACCGGATTGAAACCGCTTAAATCAAATTCGTGCAATTCTCACAGACACTGCAAGGTCCATAAACATCACAAAATTTTTTCGCGGCTTGCGTTGCATTTTTACCTTTTTTGCAGTAAAATTTTAAAATGTATCTAATTTCTTCATTAGATTCACTCATCTTGGCACTAAGAAAAACAAATGAAAATCACACATTTTTCTAATTTTAATTTGGAATTATCTTCTTTAAAATTAATTTTTTATTGATACTAAAACCGA